ATTTCAAGTATATTACCTACCCTATCAATAGAAACAGTTTTAACCTAAAGGTACATTATTCCACAAGTATTTTAACAATACTAAAATTTAATGTAAAATAATGAGTTAATTTTTAATTTTATCACATACTAAGTATTATTATTTGTCCCTAATTACTTTGTTTTAAAAGCTCCATTTTACTAGCTATTAGCAATGCTAAATGCAATATCAAACAAAATATTTGTATAAAAACGATGTAGATTGTTCACCTAATATTGTATTATTAGCACTTAAAATGTATTTTAGATGATGTTATTTCTACAATAAATAGAATACATTAATAAGTTATATAAATAACGCAGCTTTTGACAAATTATAACTGAATATTAAACATTTTTTTCAAATCTTAATACAAAGACTATAATCTTGATACACAGTTAGAGAATAGATTCACGTTGTTAGATACATTTGAAAAATTGTTAAACATAGGTGAGTTTTTTTACTCGACTCTTAATGCGTGTTAATGCATCAAATTATTGTCTTGTTGACACTTGAAAGACGCTTACAACTTCTTAAAAGTCAAGACGACCTAAAAACAATAATCTATACTGGTTAGATATTCACAAAAAATATACATCCCAACGGTGTTTCACTGACAGATTTTCGATGCCAGGTAGTTACACCCGCGGTTTCGTTTAGGTATGACATGGACAGAATTCCGGTTATTGAACTGTCAAATTTTGTACACACAATAGTAAATAATATATTTGCACTTAAGTGTAAGATCAAAATAACGACTAGGTACAAAATTTGGGCTATACCTATTTTGATATTTTCTATCATTACCCTAGTGGTTTGCAAAAGGGATCACGAGGCCTTCGTCAAGGTTTAGACAACACCTAACCTACAATTGGCATACCTACCTAATTAGAACGAGAACCATTACTATTAAAACGGTTACAACGGTTTTCTGGGTATTTTGTTTCCCAGTACAGTGTACAACATCATATGGCAAGCTGAGAGTTTATAAATCATAACCTGCAATTCGTTAAATCGTACCAGCTACAACAATGAAAGGCACCCTCTCTCTTGTAACGTCGTCCACATCCGATGCTGTCAAATACAATGTATAGCTCATGTTAGTTGTGCTTCTAAGCCTATAGGGTGGAAAATAAATACAATAAACGCAGCTGCTTCGCCGTCGGTGGAGACGATCGCACCTAAGTATGTGCGCAGCTGTACAGTGTACTTATCCCGAACTCAGTAGAAGGGTGCAAATTAATGACAAAACAAAAGAACCGGTATTACAGGCAAACTCGTGTTTTCTCCGGTGTATACAAATTCATTTCCTCTAATAAAAAATTTGACTATAACGGTTATTTGTATATTTTTTTTAACAATAGTTATTACTGGGGAGGGGGGTGAAATACGAGTATAACAATAATGACAGATGACAGTCACTCGAGTGATAAGTATAGTATTATAATATATATATATATATAATACGGGTTTGGCCGATTTTAAAGAACACTATATTTTTGTCCGTTCTCTGTGCGAGCACCACTATAAGACAGTATACCGTTTACATTATAAAAAATACTTTTATTTTATCTTTACATAGTGTTTTTATGCAATGTGATCTCAATTTCTCACAACTTTTTTTTTGTTTTTACCCTCCTACCAATTTAGTTTTTTTGCTAGCAACTTTTGAAACTTAAATGGTGTAACGCATAGATTTCATTAATTTTTTTAATTGAGAATAATTTTTTTGAACCTTCTTTTGATCTAATACAAGACCTTTTTTTTTTGAATTTCTTATCACTAATTTTTGCCCCAATAATAAAGGTTTTTAAAGTTATTTGTATCATAAAATCTGAGACTCAAATTAATTCTTTTGGTCTAATAACGCGAATAGACCGAAATTGGTTTCTATTTTTTTTTCAACATCTGCAAAATGTGTAATATATATGTATCGCTATACATTTATATATATATATATATATATATATATATATATATAATAGATTAATGCACAAAGAGCCTAAAGTCCATACATTTTTTTACTAAGTTACGGGTTAAATCTTTTTTTATTAATTAATCCCTATATACAATAGATTATCCAAAAAATATTCACAGTAGGATATTTAAAAAATTTAAGTACACAATATGGCACAGTTTAATTGTAAGTTTTTGTAATTAATTACTACATACGTTACTAACCTAACCTTAACAGCAAAAAAAACACCTTTATGGTATCTCCAGTTAAGTACCAAAATTATATTATTCAACAAGAACTGTCCGCCGACCAGCACGTTGACTTTGTCAGGAACTGCTTGGTCCGATCGAATAGTGTTATATATTAGGAGCTAAAGTTAGACCATTCTGAAAGAGGTCTACGAGGTTCTTGTGTTTAGAATTCTAACGGCAATGGTGAAAAATACCCCCCAAAAATAATTTACACTATTTAGGTTACCAATATTCATAATACCTAAATTACCAATTAAAAACTACAATTGAAATACCAATATTACACTGAATTCTTTTTGGTAAACAAACTTCATTCAACTTGTCGAATTCGGTAAATCAGACTTTTGTTTTTTGAAAAAGGTTAAACATATCGCGTTACGTTAAAAAAGTGTATAGTGTCAAAAATGTTTAAAAAAAAAAAGAAAAAAAATGTTTAACAATGAAACGTTTTAGGTAAAATATTTGTAAAAATACATTTCTCACATCTAAGAAATGTTATTTGAATATGTTAATATTGTTTTTTAAATATTAAAAAGAAAACAATTCTAAATCTATCGTACATCGGATTTTTGGTCACCATTTAAAAATCCGTGTAAAATAATAAAAAAATATAATTTATGTGTAATACAATATATGTACAATACAATGAAAAGAAATTTTTGTAATTGATAATGTGCTGCTAATGTACTATTATTTAAGTCAACTCTCCTAAATGAGGTAGTTAATATTTTAACTTTTTAGTACAGTATTTGCTTTTCTTCACAATCGCGACAATACACATACTTGTATTGTCTGGACTTATTATATTTGCGATACATCTTAAAGGCGATGAAAACGAGGAATGCGAAGATAATTAAAAATTGGAAAACGCAGATTACTGACCAAGGTATTCCTTCGGTCCAAGAGGAGTGACGAGTCGTTACGGGTTGTTCACTTATTATCGTGTGAGTAGTTTCGGCTTCCTTAGAAGTGGTGTTGTGGACAACAGCGTTGACGTCGGCAACTGCACCACTGCCGGTCAGCTAATGGGTAAACGATGCAATGTTGTATTCAATATTTTGTATTTTCAGTAATGGAAGTAAAACTTGGAATAAGGACGCTATGATGAAGCAGCTGGGCACTTGTCGAGCTAAACGGCCCCAAGTTATTTCCCAAGGAGACCAAAAACTATTATGAAACTGAGTTGTATAAATGAAACGATTGTTATTGGATAGCTTACTATTGGTTTCAAAAAGCTGACTAAAAGGGCAATAAACTCTTAACGTCTGGATCCTGCAAAACTTCCTTCAAATCGTCCATCAGATCGTCCATAAGGATGAGTTTACTTATGCGCTTTAAAACGTTACAAAATTACACTCATCTTATAGTGTAAAGCTAATGTAAACGTAACACCATAAGCTGTAAGAGTAAATATCGTTATATCTATCCACTCCAAAACCATAGCGACCGAATAACATACAATAATCACAGAGTGATTCATTATGGACCAGACAATGTTTTTTTCTAAAAAAACAAGTACAGTGGGGTCGGGGCAAAGTGGGGACGGGGAGGTCACAGGTTTACAGGAATTTTTAAATCTGAAAGTGATAAAATCACTTTCATAAAAACGCTTCTATGCAAATCAGTAGTTAGTATTTTCAAGCCAGTACAGTCCAAACCAAGCACAGTGTAAGCCAGCAAAGTTAGAAATTATTAAATTGAGGTGCTGTATTTACAAATAAGCATCAAAACGTTTCTTTGAAAGTGATTTTATTCACTTTTATAACTTTTATTTATAACCAATTCTGTAGACCTGTGACCTCGCCGTCACCCCGTTGCTTTGATTCCATTATGCCTATACTGTACTGTACTAGTCTTTTCGGATAAAATCAATTTCAAGTAAACGCTTTAATGCTTATTAGTAAATATAGCACCTCAATTTAATATTTTCTAACTTTACTTACATATATTACTTATTATTTAAATATTACTAACGTTTATAGCCACTAGCTGTCGGCTGTTGCCTGGTACATATACGTCTTTAACAATAACCTTTTATGGAGATTTTAAAATTTGTGTTTTTTTAATAATAGTATGGGATCAGAATCACAAAGTTAAATGTTCACGAGATTTGATCTAGTCATAATATAAAGTATTATCTTTCATGACTTTTAATTGTTATTAAAATATATCTTAATTAGAACATAGTAATAAAATAATGAAACATTTTTCTGTATGGTATTCCATTAATAGATTTACACTAATTTTTCTCGAGTACCACCAAATTTGTATTGTATGGGAGTAGTGTTGGTCACTTTTTTAATTGTATAACTAAAAATCTCATTTCCCTCAAGCTTATTTTTACTTTATCTGCTAATTTCATATCCATTTTTATTTTTGACTTAGCATTAATAGTTTTAATGAAATTTCACAATATTTAAATGGTTTTTATTGTACAGTCGATCGCGAGCGGACGTTCCCAACATGACCGTGCCGTATTTGCAAATACTATCATATTATATGGCGTACTATGCGCATCATACCAGAAACAGTGCGTTACTTTTTTATGCAAACAAACTACTTTAAGCTAGCCGCTCTATTTATCTGCTGAACCAGACTTTTTATTACAGTCCACAACAAGTTCTACGAGTGAAACCGCAGTATGAAATACACGTAGTTTAAACTTCAATCGAGTGTAATGTATGTATGCAATCACAGTAAAAAAACACCTTTGTCAATAACTCTACGTAGGCGACCAAGCCAAATGTACTTATATTTTATTGTTTGTTCGTAACATACCGTCAAGCCGCAGGAAAAGCACTTTTAAACAGTATAGCAAGCTGATCGATAGAACATTGTCTTAAAAGTTTCATATAATTTGATACCAAACGTCAGAGATTGTAAGAAAACCTTAAATATATATTTTATATTTTTTGCCTGTAGATCTGCGATATTTTTTAAACCGTTAAACTCAAAATTTCAATTAATAACAAGTAAACAAAATATACTCCTAAGGGGCAAATTGAAAAATAAGCCCCGCAAAAAGTTCTTGTAAACTTTTACGATGTTTTCTCGATTTTTGTAAAGGATAGAATAAATTAGTTTAAATTTGGTCCCATAAAAACTTTTTAGATAAGATTTTTGATTTGTAGACTTTTCACTTAATGATATCGATTTCAGCGGTTCAGAAGATATCGTGCTCCAATTACAGAAACAAAATATAAAAATTTTAAAAACATTATAATTGTAAGAACGATACCTTTTATCGGAAAAAATAATTAATTGGCGTAGCGTGTCGTTTTTATGTTAGCGACATTTATGTTATAATTATTTGCAGCTAAAAAATGAAACTTTACTATGTTTTATTTTCCTTTGCCTTTGCAAATATATTGGCAGAAACTATAGGTGATTGTTTCTCTTTTATACGTTTCTAAACGAGTAAATTTAAAATCTAATTAAATATTTAACTTTTATTGGTAGATACTTATAAGATGGAAGTTGTCATTACTAGTCAGTAACACATTTCTTTAATACGAAATAACTTTAATTACTAACTAAAGCATTTTAACTAATTACATTTGTTTTTGTACATATGTTTTAAATAACAAATTACAGACGAACTTATCAGGCAAGCTGATCAAGTAAATGGTAGAGTATATATAAATAAATATTCTGATAAATATAAATATATTTGTTATATTAAAATGTAATTCATAAATTAAAAATTAGTGTTCATTAATCTCTGGGTGCTATTTCTACAGCAGTCAAGAGCACACGTAATTACGTCGTTAGCCCACCCCCCGGAGGATTAAAACCGTGCTAGCATATTCGTCTTGAACCTAGAGACCCTGGGCTTGCGGCCACCTCTTAGGGGCACTTAGGCACCTAACATACTAAAAGTGACTTCCCCCCCCCCCAATTTTTGTTTTTTTTGTAAACGCCATAACTCTGTGGCAAATTCTGTTTTTACCCCAGTGGTTTTAGTGTTGTACACCGTGTCTACAGCCCGTTGATCATAAGTGCTAAGTGTAATCACGCCGTAGTTAAGTGCAAATTGCGGTAACCCAAATTTGCACCAGTGCGCGTTAGTGTACATATCCTCAACTGTGGTGAACATCCAACACAACCATAGGTTCTGAAATGAGCAACGTGGAATGTACGCCATCGAGTCCACTTCATAAAAAGCCGAAGTTGATTTCCTCACATTTCCAGTCTATTTTGGATGCGGTAGGATGGCATAAAACCACCATCGAGAAAGAAACAGCAAGTTATCTAAAATGACTCTCTACAACTTTCGGGCAAATTGGATACAATCATTAACTTAGCCAACCAGTTGGAGACAGATCGGAACAGTTTTTCAGGAATAGATATTGGTGTTCTTGTGATGGAGTTCACAAAGGAGATACCGAACAAACCCTCAAAAATCAGATTACCGCACTATCTGCTCACAGTGAGATCTCTGAAACAATTGAGATGGAAGTTGTTGTTAGTGAGGAACCTAATCAAGGAACAAAGAAAACCAAGATCAATCCGGCCAAAGCGAGAAAATCTCAATCCTGCAAGTCAAACAGGTCTAAGTCGAGGGTCGAAAAGCAGAAGGAAAAGTTGGCCATCAATAAGGAAATGACCCCTCTTACGGCATATCAACTCCTAAATACCGATAGCACGGCCCCAGAGACGATAAAGAGTCCTTTGTGGTCCGAGGTTATCAAGAGGCATAAAGCACTAAAGCTTGATCTAATCACAACTAAAACAGGGAAACTTATAGTAAAAACGATGGATGAGCACGCACAGCCAATACACTCAAAGCTATCGTTAAAAATAAGAACTATCTTATAAAGGAGGAATCGGCTAAATGGCCTAGAATTCTTATTCCCTAGCACTCACGAACACACTGCGGTTAGTATTGCTGTGCTAAACCCTGACTTTGAACTATCTCCAGGTACAATAACAAACTTTATTAAGCCAATTTTTCGACGTGGCCCTAGGGATAAGACCATAATCAACCGGATAGTTGAGGTACACCAGTAACAGAGTGATTAAAGTTCAGTTAAATAGTCCTAATTTAATACTTCTAGTATTCTTGTTCTGAAGATTTTGATATCTGTTAAGATTTTTTTGACTATTTTTTTATAGCTCAAACTATTATGTATTTATTCCAGGTATTCCGGATGTAATAAGAAGAATTTTCGATGAAAATAGCCATTATTTAATAGGTAATCATTATTATACAGGGTGTATCATGAAGAATGATGGGGTTTCAAACGGCTGTAGGTTTAAAAGTGTTGGACCTACAGCGCTCTGGTAGGTCTTGAATGAAAGAGGGTGTTGTCAAGTTTCGAATGACTGCATAGGCGGAGATGATTTTTTTTTGGGGGGGGGGCTAGCGTTTATCTTCGTAAAATGACCCGCAAGGGCTTCACACCCCCTCATCTTTACTTTAATGAGTAGATCAAATAATTTGGGTGGGCTTTTGACAATTTTGAAAGGGGCTACAACCCCCCAATCTCCACAGTCTATTCCAAACTTGACGACTCCCTCTTTCATTCAAGTCCTACCAGAGCGCTGTAGGTCCAATACTTCACAACTTATAGCCGTTTGAACCACACTATTCTTGAGATACACCCTGATAATAAAAAAAATAATAGTCAAACTTAGCTAATTATTGTATTTTATTCTACTCGACACATCTGCTTCGGTGCATCTATTTTATTATAAAATCTGCACTAGACTGTGTTTTGCTTATCGAACGAGAACAGTCTCGAGTGCCGAATTTATGCATTGTGTTTAATAAATATTATAGCATGAAAAATGTTTTCACTAACAACAAACATTGATCATTTTTTTACATAATATACTAGATCATACACAAGCGGCAGCTTGTACGACATTTTACAATTCATAATATAGTTATATTTACTCGAATTTACGAGTATGTATACTCCTTTGATTTGTATTTATCAAGATTTTTTTATTGTTCAAATAAAATGCCCTGGAGCAATTAAAAACAAAATCAGCACTTTTTTATACAATGTAGAAACAAGCATAATTCTTCGGATTTAGACATTTACATACACACTTAATTTCCACTTTGGCTTCCGTTTCTTAAATTATAGTTAAAACATAAAATAATCCAGTTTTAGTTAATAATCTACGTATGTTATAATAATTTCAGAGGATTTAGTTTATATGTGGACTGTACCGGGTAATATTTTTTATTGCCAATTATGGAAGTCTTTTTTTATATTAATTGATATTTATTAAGTTATTTTTTTTTAATTTCAGATCAAGCAGCCATTACGGCCAAAAAATTATCTAGTATTATATTATTCCATTATCATATTTATTATAGTTTACGCAAAAGCATATTAAACAAATTTACACATACATATTAGGGTGGCGCAAAAAAAAGCTAAATTCGAAATTTTAAGGGGCTTACATATAAATTTGTTCTATACGTTAAAAAAGAGACTTGGTGAAAATTTGACTATTTTAAAAAAAAATCTTTTATTATTTTTCATCAAAAGATGGCGCACGTCACTTTTAGTATTACATTATTTTACATTATACGCAAACTATTCAAGAATAATATGTTATACTTGTAGGAAATTTTATTGACTTTATTATTAATAAAAAATGTATTACAGGCTCTAGTCAAAATCAAATTCCAGTTATAAATCTTGATCCACCCCAAATAGGTAATCATAAATTTATTTTAACTATATACATCGAAAGATATAGCGATGTATAAGGATATAAAGAAAAAAGGATAAAATATTTTCGTTAGGTTTTTTGGTATTGCTGTCGATTTTTCGGGTTGTTTAGGCAATATGTAAATATGATTTATACATATCCATAATAACACTTGGCATTCCACGCCAAGTGTTTAAATTTTAATGGGCTAACAATTAAATTTATTCTATACATTATAAAAGAGACTTGATAAAAAAAAATTGTTTTCTGGTCGAGCTTAGAGAAATTACTTAAGTACCTTTACAACAAGCTACAAATGACAGCTATACGTTAAACATCTCTACCAGTGTTGCTAAGCGCTTAAGTCATTTTTTTAAAAAATAAATATGAAATTTTATCGACTGTAATATTATTAAACAATTTATTACAGGATCTAGTCAAATTCCAGATCTAAATCTTGAACCACCCGAAGAAATAGGTAATCATAAATTTATTTTAACTATAAATATCTAAGGATATAGCGAGATATAAGGATAAAATATTTTTATAAGGTTTTTTAATAACGCTGTCGATTTTTCCGGTTGTGTGCCAAAGTAAAGACATAAAATGTCAAAATCAAATACTTGTAATAAATAGAAATATATTTTATTATCATATTTTTTTTTTGAAATTTATGCAAAGGTTTATTAAAAATATGATTTACCAATGTTGCTAAGCGTTTAAGTCATTTTTTTTTAAACATATAACATTTTGTAGACTGTATTATTATTAAAAAATTTTTTACAGACTGTAGTCAAATTCAAATTCCAGTTCTAAATCTTGATCCACCCAAAATAGGTAATCATAAATTTATTATTACTATATATATCGAAAGATATAGCGTTGTATAAGGATAATATATTTTCGTTAGTTGTTTGGTAATGCTGTCGACTTTACCGGTTGTGTGCCAAAGTAAAGACATAAAATGTCAAAATCAAATACTTGATTGAATTATATATAATATAATAAATTGTCGATATTCAATATTAGATTTTACTCTGATTTCTATAAAATATATTCGATAAAAATGCTATTCACTTTGCTAAGAATTACTATAGTAATACGCTAAATTAAAAACTTTTGTAACCTTTTTTTTTCAGCGGCCGAAAATATAGAAAGTAATCTAAGATCATTATTATATTAATTATAATTTACGCAAAGACATTATATAAATATAATTTATACATATTATGGGGCATTCCACGCCAAGTGTTCCCACCTAAAAAATGTTTGGTCTCCAATTCCGATGAAACTTTGTAAGATGAATACACTATCTTAGAAAAATTCTCAATGTTAAATGAGGAGTGGTAAATATGACTGGATGCCAAGGATTTTCAAACGTTGGACTTTTTTATGTCCGCCCGTATTCTTTTAATTTTTACACAAATAAAAAGCGGCCGCTTGGGGTTAAAAAATAGCGCGTTCTTTAACATTGTTTCCGTACTTTAAAATAAAAATATTAAAAATTTCAACAATCTATGTTTTCCCCCTCAATATATTAGATTCGTCTGTGTTCCTTGCTAAGAATTACCCTAATCGTACTCTCAACTAAAAACATGATGTGCAAACACAAAGGCTTAAGGGATGTCAACAAATCTGAAAAAAATAGGAAAATATCTATATACATTATACATATTAATTTCTATCGTAATAATATATGTTAATTAACATGACGTCTTTTGTGTTTAATTATAGAGTGCATAGAATATGAGCATACTTTACAAAAGGCAATAGTCAAGAGCATTGCTTGTAAATATAAAATTAACAATATTTTAATCGGTCAATTTATAAAATTTATAATAATTATCATGTAATTAATACAAAGTTCTAAATCTAAATAAAATCATTGGAAAATAAACATTAAATTTAAGCTCAAAGTAAAGTTGTATATTTTTTGCTTAAAGCTTTGACGGTCGTTTGTGACATAACTCCACTCGTTAATGCAAACAATACTACTAGATCAGTTTTAAGTTCATGCAACATTTTACAATGATTTATTTTGTTCTAAGTAGTCTTAGTTTTGAAGTGACTTTTATGGATAAAAAAGAAACTTATAAATTATACATTAACTGTATGATTATTTAACATTATTATTACAGGTATCGAGTCGAAGCCTGCTGCTGAAACCCTAGGTACTGAAGCATTTATTTGATAGTCGTTAGTAGCCTTAAGATTAAAGTTAGGATTGCGTTTTTTTACAAAAAACCTAAATGGCAACTAATTTTTTTAAATTTATTAGCTATACCGCGTCTTAATTATTTTTTACAGAGGATGAAATCAAAAGAGCTGATTTGAAGGCTGATAGTCTTACAAGAAGGCTAATGGTTAAAAAACATTTTAGTTATTTAATAAATCATGCTACAGGTAAATATAATATGTAAAAAGTGGGTTAAAGTATTTTAAGTTGTAGTAAATGTTGAAATAACAATTAATTTTCTATATAACAGGAAGCATGTCGCATTATATAAATATGCTATTTACCTTTATAATAAAAATACGTAGTTAGTAAACCAGGAAATTTTATTAAAAACAAAGTTATTTTTGTGAGCACTCGTGCAACCTTGTAAGGTTAATATAAATAGCATTTTATAACTTTTTCTTGTGTACAGACCTACATTTCCTAAACCCCAAAACCTATATTATTTTGTAGCTAGTCTATAGTTCAATAACTGTTGATACACCAAAGTACTGATTTCATACGATTTGAGATAGATAGAACAAGAAGGGTACGAATTCTGGAGTAAATGAACGGGACAAGGAATGTTAATTTTTAGATGATATCAGGTGTATCTAAAGTCCCATTGAGAAGAAAATATTATTAATATGTTTTTTGTTTAATTATAGATTACTTCAAATATTCCACTATACAATATTGGCTTAGCTACTTGTCGAAGTTTAAACATAGTTATAATCAATCTTGATTATTTTTGCATAAGTTATGTTGGTAGTTAGTATGTCTTAAAAGTTTGCAAATTTATGCGTAATTAAAAAAAACATAGAATATCTGATTTGTTGTTTAAATGAAAAGTAAAGAATGCCAATAGTATAAACTTAGTAGGATAGAAGTACCAAATAGCTAGCACAATCGCATGTTAAAATATTTAGATTTTGTATTTTAATTTACCCTTTGTTCCTTTTAAAACCTATAGACTCATTTTTTACAAGGATTTATTAATAGGTTTTAATTCACAATAAAATTATAAACCAGGGTGTCATTCATAAATTTAATAAAGTATGACAATTAGAATACTAATAAAATTGTTCATAATAAGGCAAAACTGCTTCCAAAAACAAAGTTTTGTTATTTAGATATTTTTCTTTTATAAATACGATAAATCAATGAATTTGAATTTTAAAAATGTATTGATTTTGTGTAACATTGCTGTAAAAATTACAATACGGACACCATGTATATGGTATTTTTTTTCAATATAAACGTAATAGTTATGCCTTGTATAAAGACAACTAGTTACTAATAAGCTAAAATAATTAATACGCCCTTCACCACAAAAATAATACTTTATAGCGTATACGTATTTCGGCAGCAATATTATCGTCATCAGTACATACAATCGACTAAATTTGTCAGTAGCTACATTTATTATTTAATGTTTTTTTTAGATCCTCGTCATAAATCCAGTCTTATTGAAAGATGTTATTTAATTGCAATATTCAGAACTTCATTGCTTGGACCCAAACAATCAAAAAATTTTATCAAATTTGCAAGACTTCACCCCCATGATAATTGTTGCATAATTACTTCTGCAAAAAATGATATTACTTTCTACCCAATGAAAATGACTGACGTAAAATAATATTTTCTAGACAGTTATGATATAAGACTTGAAATGATAGAACCCTGATTTCTGTAAGCTCAGCATTATACTTATTATTTAATTTAAATTAACTATTTTTATGAATAATAAATACTATAGATAATACAGAATGTTATTTTCATTATATTTAAATTTTATTTATATCACACTAATATACAACTAATAAACTACAACAATGTTAATTATTAAAATGTATTTCATAATAAACAGTTTTGATCACCATTATTTGGGTGTATGGATTTTTTACGACTTTTATATTATTTCAAATTTTTTACTATAATTACTGTTTTACATGTATTTTAAAAAATTCGACATTTTTTGAATCTACATGGAAAATAATACTTTAATTTAGTGTTGTAAATCTTCTAAGATAATGACTTAGTCATAGTTAATTTAACCAACCAACTTGTAGTATCAATAATACTCATTGTATTATCATTTGGATGGATTGTCGGTGGACAATCTAAAATCGATTGGTTAATGAGATTTTTTTAAAAAATTTAAATTCAAAACATTTTATCAGCGATGCTATTGGTTTTACGATGGTGTGGTCTTTTTTATGTCTGTGTACACTGTAACTTTTTTTAATATTAAACTCCATTTACACTGAACCAAGTGTGAAAAACGAAAGAGTTACTAGCATTTTCTGTTGGCATCATCGTCCACCCGAATGTCGTGTGAAATGAAATCATTTAATACAATGTGTGGTTTGATCACACCTTCAAAACACTTATTTTTATTCTGGTTGTATTACAGAGTAAAATCATTGACTAAACATACTAGATAACTCTGTGCTCTAGAAAATATGCTGCGCGATATTCTACGGTCAGTAAAGTGCGATAAGAGAAATTGAATTAATAAAAATGTACACTACTATTACTTTGATTTCTACTTTGGAGAACGTCGTCGACGAGCAATAACTGAACTCTACGGGAGTTGTGTGAAATAACCCGGCTTTTCGTCAAGTTTAAAAAGAATGCAATATTTAGCTGAATAATAACAAATGATAAATAAACGCTTAAATGCGAATCAGTAATTGGAACTTTAACCCAGTCCAAACTAAACACAGTATAGACCAGCATAATAAGAAAGTATTAAAGCGAGGTTTAAAAATTAATATCAAAGCGTTTTCATTTCAAGTGATTTTATCAAATAACCCAGTACAGTGGGGTCGAGGCATACTGGGATTAAGAACCGATCATCACCCCGCTCCGAGAGAACTGCGCAAAAAAACTTTTCTTAAAGACACTTTGCTATAATTTCTTAATTAACACAAATAGTTCAACAGTATCCAATGTGCTTAGAGTTGCCCCAATTGGCTTCCCATGAAAATACAACATAATGGCTCGTATTGAACTATTAAAGAAATCCAGACTTCAATTAACGCTGAGTTTTCCAAGGACTGCGTTTTACCGCTTTTCAAGGAACCGTAACAGGGTAACTCATGCCGGACTAAATAAACATAAGAAAAAAATATATTAATTTAAAATAAATGTTTTTTTTGTCATTGAAAAAGGCTACTTTTGGACTTGACTGACTCAGACTGAAGTTCAACAAGATCTGTAGCAGGACCTAACCTAACCTTACAACGGTTTTTTGTTACAAACTCCAAATAAATTGGACGATAAACACGGTACCATTAGCAAAATAAAAGGGTATATGCACTTTGTTCGTAAATATAACCTACTATTTGCTACTAGTCATAATTAATAAAAATTATCGATTCGTCGTATGTTCCACGTGTTATTGTAGAGCTCTGTATATTTTATGCATTGGACAATATAATAACGTATCGGTTTCTATGGCTTTTTCCATCGAGTATTATAATCAATTCGTGTAACTCTGAATGTTTAAAAAACCTATCGTTCACGCATCATAGGACATTTCATTATTGAATTTTGTCTTGTCGGATTTAAGGAGGAATATAGGCATGATAAAAATTCACAACTGTCGAGAGGAGATGACGAGCGGCAGTTGTTCTAGAAACAGGACAGTAAGCATGCGCTGGATAGGGCGGCGAAAAAACAACGTCTTCAGTCGTATGCGGACCGGACCGCCGTTTTGGATGTTGTTGTTGATAACACTCTTTCGGATCTTGCTGACGACCCCTGTGTGTGGCGCAGACACCACTAGTGCCGTGGATACCACGCCCAAGGAAATTATCCAGGAACCATTAGAACAAAAACCAGCAGTGCAATCCGCCGTCTTGGCGTGTGCGGCACCGAGCAGTCAGTGTAAGTCCGTTTGCGAACTCCAGAGAGAATTGGAGCAATTGAGCCAGTGTTTGACCAAATCCATGGCCGAGCTCACCGTGGCCCAGAACCGGCTTGAAAAACTCACAGTGTTGGAGTGTGAAAAGAGCAGGTACAAGCTACCTAATTACCTAATAATCCAGCTACCTAATTACCGAACCAAAACGCTTCCCATATGTCTCATACGTCTCCTGTAGCTCCCTCTCGGATCCACTAGGACTCCCGTTTAGGCGCTTTCGCTTTTCTAACGTTTCTAATCTAGCCTCACCTAACCGGGGAGATTAAACCCGAGTTTCCCGCTTGCTCTACTGAGCTATCTACTTCAGCATTTTAACCGCGCCTCTTAACTGAATTATACATACACTACGGAAGTAAACAGATTCGACCATTTGCCTTGATCTCTCATCATCTTTTGTCAGTCCACATTTGTTAACTGGCTATAAGAGGGCGATAAGAATGTAACACTCGATGTGCTTGTCTATAGTAATCTCCTGGATTAGGAAACTTACAGGACGATCATTGGGCCTCTGATAAGGGATCGTTGAGTAATTTTTCATTTCTGGATATCGTTATTAACGGTTTTTCTTATTTGTCCATTGACTGCGTGTAGCTACGTTAGATCGGCGCAAGAGAGGGTGTTAAGGCTTGCAGACAACGTGCAGCACATGGACAACGAAATGGCATGCCACCCAGACCTATGCAGTGAACATCCATTTGCGAACTTGTCAATGTGGTGCAGCACTAGCAGAAGGCTGCAAGCGTTGCGACGGTTGTTGGCAGGCGCTAAAGTGGGACTGTCCTACATGGAGAACCACAAAAAAATCAACGAATATGGCAGAGGTGAATGCCACTAGCCAATTAGGTCATGCAAACATTTTCTGCACGAATCTTTCTAGTTTTCATATGGTTTATTCTTAATTACAAGGAATTACAAGTCAGTTCCACCACCCAATACTTATATTCTAATGTACACACATTCCGTTCAAATAAATTATATTATAAATAATATTATTTATTTTTTTTTTTTTTGGAACGAAGTTCCTTATCGTGGGTTGGCGAGGGGACCTAGCCGAGAAAAAATGTTACGCGTTACGAATATGCTTTTTGACATTTTCATGTCTTAGCTCCGGCACATGACCGAAAAAAGCGTAACGAAAAGAGCGTTACGTACACGGAGATGGTTTTGGGGGGTGGGGATGGGAATTGGCTCTGGGTCATAACCGAAAAAAGTGTTACCAAAAAAGCGTTACGCTGTTATCTAATAAGAGATAAGAAATATGTTGTATTTTCAACGTTCAAATTAGAACTAAATGATAAATTCAAAATAGCTCAAGGGCCCAAATTCTCTATGAATCGTTTTAAGCCAGATACTAAAAACTACAATATTAGCCAGAAACTTGTTTTAATATACTAGCCACCTTAGATACTAGCTTGTTACTGCTTGTTAATATATTACATCATTATCTATAATTCCACTATTACTATAAACTTATTTGGTAATTCAACCATAGACCTATAAAGATATTCTTTATAGGTCTATGACTTCAACGAGACATGAAAATGAAGAAGCTGAATGATGAACCTATTCTTGTTTATGACTTACTATTGCATCAAGGAACCACAACTGAACTAAATCAATAAACATAAAAAGGTATGGTTTGTGTGGTGCTGTAGTAATAAAACTAACAATTCTAATAAAAAAACGAGACACTTTTTGTAAATGGGCAATATTTTTATATCTTATAACTTGCTTCATGCATTGCATCATAAAAATATATACGCTGTTGGAACTATTAGACTAGGTATTTGGGTAAACAGATTTGTAAGTCCACCATTTATGACTGATAAAGAACTATTAAAGATGGGCCGAGGGACAACATTTGAAGTGATAAATATATTATCTCTATTATATTATCTTTAATCTTATATATTATATACTCAGTAACGTTAAGCTACCCCTGCTGCAGCCGCCCCCAACGACGCCACCCAACTAGTCACGAGGATGGCCAAAGACCATACGCCGGCGAGTGTGAATTCCAGAGTTACGCTTCGGACAATTTTTTAGAATTACCCCCCAGCCATAAGACATATGTTCCCCGCCAAAATTAAATGTATTTTTACATAGCTAATATAATACAACAGGTACCTAAAATATATTAGAAGGATATTTTCAAAATTATATTATATAAACATTTATTAAGCATATTATATAAGGTAGACGAAAATACAGATATGTCGGTATAAATTCTTCGGATATTATTATCTTACCGATTATTCAGATAGAACAAAATTCACACTTCCAAAAAGTATACAAATGAATTAAAATCGAAATCGCAAAACTTTACCATGGCCGCCATAGCTATAGACTTTTATTAATCTTTGTCTTCGTTCTTTTAATTTGTCGCAGTCAAGAAAATAGTATTGTCATAGGCCATAGCGAATGTAATAATATGGACATTTTGTACCTCGCTTCAGCGTGGATACTTAATTTTATAAAATTGTTGTAATATTACATTTTATATGTACCTATATTATATGTGCAGATACATTATTTTGTGCATAACATTTTATATTATACGATGAATATAGTTGATACTTAGTTTACACTTTACACGAATGTATTTAAAAAAAAAAAAACTGTTACGTTTTAAAAATGTAAAATTAGATGACCTTAGAATCAATATAATATCAATATTCTTTATACATGCAGTCTGTAGATAACAAATTTAATACTACTGTTAAAACTCGGAAAGTCGAAACCCTCCTAAGAAAAAACTATTCATCATTGATGTAAAACAATCTATTAGTATAATTGAAGACCGTGACACTTGGGTTCAATTCATCGAAATTAAAACAATTGGTGTAGGCAATATTTTGTTTTAGGGCATTGTGCTCTTATCACTGTTATCAGGGGTACGTGACGTCCGGTAAATAACCATCTATGTCTATTCCTTGACAAAGAGTAACATCATACGAGTTAATGGCGCCCTACTAGAATAGATGATAGCGGAAGGGTAACTTTCAATGAAAGCAAAAAAGTAACGGACTATTTAGTATTATACATTTATATATTATATCTATACACAAAAAAAAAATAATAATGTTTAGATGTACATTGTAGTTGTGTAGCCTGAAGTTGGCCGTCGCGGTTTTGTGCTTCTCCGTGTTATTTGTTATCATTGTCCCGGGGCCTGGCCTTATCACGAATTGCCGACATACATGTCTCTTTTGACCGCGTTCTTCTACGCCCGTGCCCCGTGTTGTAGAGGTTGGCCACACTGGATCGGCGTTTTTCTACGCGTTTCGGTCATGGAAAAAAATGTTATCGACTTCCGCGGTTTAGGTGTTTACACTTTGGAGTTTAGACACGCTATTATTTACAAGACGCGCTCGTTTTTCTAGTCGTTGTTACTTCGCTGGTTCAATAGTAAAAAGATCAATTAATGCTATGGTAAATGTATTATCGCAGTAACTGTAGTACTCTGTTTCAGCTGTGTCACACGAGTACCGAAGAGTTTGCAAAATATTAGTGTTCCGATTCGAACGGCTTCGTGTTCGACTGTAGGCGGTGTCCATTAGCTTGGTCGATTAATCGTTGTAATAGTTGAGATCGCCAAATTATAGAATTCGTACATCATGGCTTTAAGTGCTACCCAGCCGATGCATCATAGCGTACAAGTGTCCACAGGTACCGGGTGGCCAAGACGAGCGGCGCCAATGATAAAATCATCTTCGTCTACATGCCCGTCGCTGAATAGACACATCAATTTGTAAGTACTGTTACTTATTATAAAATTATACTTATTAAAAACTTGCAAGCAGTCGCTTCGTAACTATTGTCTGCCGAAAAGCTATGCTACGAAACCGTCAAGTATAACTGCCTAAGCCCTAAACAGTAATGTTCTTCTTGGGCAGCCGTTTTTTTGTGTAAGATAATAATATCTATACTCGGTGTCAGTGCTACTGGTATTTATAAGTTTGACGAGCAAAAAAAAACTTGGGGATAATGGCAGGTTATTTTACAGTTATAGTGAGTCATAAAATCGCTCTCGAAAAATTGCGTTGCAAGTTTCTGTAGTAACAAAAAAATTGATAACCCAGTATAGTTTATACGTGCCAAAAAATTTAATTTTTAGTAATAAGATTGAATGGTTTTCATATTAACTGATGTTGTTACTAATAGGCAATATCGTAATCAACAACATAAGGATATAATTAAGTATTTTTCGGATACCTGTTGACAATTAATTTATTCACCCATAGCATTCTAGAAATTAAATATGGTCGGGTGATTTTTTTAGTGATTCCGTAATAAACAAAAAAAGTGACTACCTAGATTTTTAAAATATATATATTATACAGTCATACTAGATGTACCTTAAGACTAATATTTCAGATCTTAAGTCCCTAATGTGCAGCTATAAAAACCATGTACAATTTCTATCCCTTTTAAGAGCAGCTTGTGAAATTATTGATAAGTTGCTTTTATGAAAAATGCTTGAATTTTGTTATTAGTATTCTTTTGATTGTAGAAATTCGTTAGTTCGACTTAAAGTTTTGTCTACATTTAAACTTTTTATACCAAGTATTCACATGTGCCACAGACATCTTTTTATGTTTAATATCTTCAATAGAGCTGCACTAAATTGTGATAAATAGACAATTTTAATGCTAAGAGCTAAATATAAATTTGCTGACATTGTACTATACAAATTAATTACGTTTTATTATTATAATTATAATTTCAGGTATCCTTTGTCAAATTACAAGTTTGGTACCAAAGAACCTTTATTTGAAAAAGATCCGTCTGTACCGGCCAGATTTCAACGCATGCGTGATGAATTTGATAAAATTGGCATGCGACGTAGTGTCGAAGGAGTTCTTATTGTACACAAACACGGTCTACCGCACGTTTTGCTATTGCAATTGGGCACCACATTTTTCAAATTGTAAGTAAATATGTAACAATAAAATGTTCAATTAGTCATTTTCAAATTAAATTTCTTACACCTAAAACAATTACAATTAATTGTTGTATGCAGTGCTCAAATTAGAAAAATAAAAGTAGTGTGATGTTTTTACTTTTAAAAAAAAGCATAGCTGGCATTTTTTTGCCTAAAATCATCATCACTTTTAGTTGGAGTACTCGTTCCCCCTCCCCCTCCCCCAATTCAAGCACTAGTTTTATAAATAAAGTTTTAGGTATAATTGAATAATATTGACAATTTTTATGTTTGAAAAATACATTTAGATGTGATAGATACAATCTATTAAGAACAAGACTGATTTTATAAAATACCTTTTCTTTTTACTTTTTTAAAAAAAAAAATGCTTCTGAAAATATTATATATTTTATTTAAAGCGTGGTGTAGAGTAAAAATAGAAATGTATGTTTATTTACATACTTTACTTAAAATAATTGTAAAATTTCAACATACATTTTGAGACTTATTTAATCGTTTTTTCTTTGGAAATTAGATTTTTTTTTATATATTTAATTTTTTTAATAGGCCAGGCGGTGAACTAAATCCAGGAGAAGACGAGGTCGAAGGACTTAAACGACTATTGACTGAAGTAATCTTCTTTAAAATTATTCAGCAATTGATTTAGTCTGTATTCAATGTTAAGACAATAGGATTTATAATATTACTGTACATTGTTCCTTGTTTTTAAATAAACAGTTGATTTATTTGTATTTGTATAGACATTGGGAAGGCAGGATGGTATTCCATCCGAATGGACTGTTGAAGATACCATAGGAAATTGGTGGCGGCCTAATTTCGAGCCTCCTACGTATCCCTACATGCCACCCCACATCACCAAGCCTAAAGAGCACAAAAGACTCTTCTTAGTTCAGCTGCCCGACAAAGGTAAGCTTATTAATCAATAATAGTAATTATTAATTACAACCAACTGTCTATGTACCTCTTTACAATGAGTAAGTATAATAATGTAAATACTTAATTGAGGGGGAAAAACACTTGCATTACGCTGTGTGGATAGTCGATTGTAAAAACGTTTGTGTTCCTGTGTAGGATGTGTGCCACCAACTGATGAGATGATGATAACAATTATATGTGTAAAATTACATTATAATATTATTTTATATTTCGCAGTTTACAATGGCAACACGATTTGCTGGTACAAAGAGGATCGTCCCGGTTGATTGTAAAACATCACATACAAGATTGTTATTATGATATTATTATTGTTTTTTTGATGAAAACCTATAAGACTTGTACATCTGATGTATTATCCAAAAGAAAATATCATATTAGGATTTTCTATAGGATTACAATACGGTTTATTCTCCATAGTTGAGTCTACCGTTGTGTTCATTTATTTGTTGGCCCGAATAAATAGAAATCAAAGTATTTTTCTAACCAATGTATAGTATTTTACACAACAACTTATTCAGCGATAAGCGATACTAGTTGTTGAACTAGCTGATTGTTTGTATATTTATGAAAGCATTGATTGCAACGAGTTCTTGTTACTTTTATTTCTATGTTGTCATTACTTATAATTTAAACTGCAGTTCTAATTGCTTTGAATGTGCCTTTGTAACGTATTTTTCAAGAAATATATAAGGTGTTTAAAATAATCGATAAACCAATAAAAATAAGTTAACAATAACAAATATTTTTGAAGAAACGATAATTTGTAACATTGATTTTTTCCTGAATTACAAGAAAACATTGTTAATTTTAACTATACCATTACATTACAGTACCTATCAATAATTGTTGTTTTGATGAAGTACTTTTCATTAGACATTGTTCTTACTTTTTATTTTAACACCCATTTATTATTTTTTACCAATTATTTTTATTGTTGTTTTATTTTTACTGAATCTTTATTTTATAATAATCGTATAATTTATAGATAGTTGAACAACTGGTGACGACATTGTAGGATATGTGTGTAGTAGTACTGTGACAGTGAATAATTGCTATTCATATTATTTATATAACATCTGATGATTGACAAATGTTACTCGTTACTCCCTCTATGTACTCCCTTTGTTTATTATAACTATCATATCCTTTGCCAATTTGTTGAGCTTTTAAATGTTATTATAGTACCTATTTGTTGTTTCTTTTTTCAAGTGTATATATTGGCCAGACAATGTCATTAGTGATAGGAAAAAAAATCTTGTTGTCCATTTAAGAATAAAATATACCAATATTGTTTTAAAACTTCCTACAAGTTAATCGTTATGTTATTTTTTTTCTTTGAAATACATAGTATGATTTTAATTTTATACTTTTATTAATGTTTTGTGTTGGTGAAGAGCATTGTGCATAAAACTATCAAGTTTTACTCAAGCTTCAAAGCAATTACTATTTCAAAAATGTTAAATTCAACTGTTTTTTATAAAAATGATGACGTAGGATGTTATGATGACATTTAATTATGGCGAAATTATTATTATTATAACTAATTAGTTTTCAAAATTTCCATTTGTAAAAACTAAACTGAGATATTGTTGTTTCTGTATCATTAAAAAAATAAACCAAACAATTACGATAAAAAATTAATCATTTCCTGACTTTTATTATATACATTTTACAGAATAAAAATTATCTTGCGTCATTAAAAAAAAAATCTGCTATTGATATAAATACACATTTATATATTTACTTATATATAAAATGTATTTATTGTATTAACATATAAATATGTATAAATAAATAAATTATAAATACATTTTATGTCGACTATAAGTCTTTCTGACTTATAAAGTATCTTGTTTGTATGTATTTATTATATTATTATATGACGAATATGGTAATTTTTATAATATGTAGTAAACATCACTCATAATATCGTAGGACAATTTTTGTAAAATTATGTCTTTCAAAAACCGTGTTCTAATAATAATATTATATATTATATTTTATACAAAAAAAATAATATTAATGATGTATTTTTGTCTGTTTGTATTATGTATGTACATTTTATCAACTGTTTTTGTTTTCAAATTGTATAATGTATCCAATCATTGTTCTACAGCATTGTTTGCCGTGCCAAAAAATTACAAATTGGTAGCAGCTCCTCTGTTCGAGCTGTTTGACAACTCGCAAGGATACGGATCAATTATTTCATCACTACCACAAGCTCTCGGAAGGTAATTTTGTTATGTTACATGTCAACGATAAGACAATAGCGTTGTAATGTGTGTATGAAGTGATGACAAAGTTATTATATTTACTTATGTATTAATTTAATTATTTAATATTTTTATGTTCACAGGTTCAATTTCATTTATATGTAATTCGTAAGGATTTAGTTGTAAGATTATTTTATAAAGTTTGCTACCCACCAATCGGAAAGAAAAAAACAACTTTTTTTTCTACTATGATTGAAATATAATTTGTAAAGTAGAATTGATTATATTTGAGTTGATTTTATACAATTTGTTTGACCGTAATACTTGATATATGATATCTACATACAATAACCTTCAACGCTCTATTGTGAATATATCGTATTTTTTTTTAAAATATTATCATTATTTTGTTCAAATATTCTTTGATGATGCATCGTTTAATTATTTTAAAGTGATTTATAAAGTAAATTGTCGAAGCAATGGTCGTTGATGTACTACTAACTTGATGTATTTCCTTACAAACCTTTTTTGTATTATTATTCTTATTATTGTTGGTCTAATATTCCTTAAAGATAAAACATATTTTTGGTTACTGTAAAGTATATCACGACACATTGAAATGTTCGAGTATTTTTTTAATCACAGCTATCATTGAAGAATCTGCTAGCTAAGCAGAGAAAAATTATGTATTTTATACATTACGGTACAAAAAAAATATTAGAATAATTTTTGACATATTGTAGTTCCGATATTGTTATTAATATTATGCTTTAATTTATTTAATTGTAATTAAATATTTTCTTTTTGACGTCCAAAGTCATTATACATCATAAATATCTAAAGGAATGCTTTTTTAAAAATATTTTATAGAAAGAATTTTAATTGTGTGTTGTTGCAAAGAAAAAATTGTACTCTACAAATTCTGTAAGTTCCCTATGATACAACATTAGAGTCTACAGTAAATTTATACTTGGTTTGTTTTTTTTTGTAAAAAGTGTATTAAGTGTTATGTATTGTATGTATTTAAAGTCATAACGTGGCTAATAAATACATCATAGACATTATTTATCTTTTTATACGTCCATAAATAAAAATTATTTTTTATCAATAAAAAGGGATTTTGAATATTTTTTATTCCTTTGCAAATTACTTTCAGAATTGGTGTCAATTAATAAAAATTTGAATAGATTACTTGACCGAACGCAGGTGGTTTTTATTTGAACAAAATTACTGTTAAATGAATATTTCCATAAAAAAGTGATCATGAACACCCCTATATTGTTATATTTATTACTCAATAACCATACTTTAATAAATTTAAAGTAATTTTGTAATGATGACAAAATTTATGAAATACTATCAACATCCGATAGTAATTTAATTAAGCAATTAAATTAAGTTTGGAAAAATCGTCCATAATATCAGTTGGAAGAGTAAAAAAATAAATTTGTATCGTAAACTCATTGTGTAGAATATGTTTTACTATTTTATATAACTGTATAGTACCAATAACTAAATTACTTAATGATGGTTGCCAGATGTTCAATTAGCCACCGAAAACTATAGTGACTAACTATTGGCTTTGTACGATACAGCTATTCCACCTTTTCTAGTTTCGACAACGGGAACAGCTTTCGGTTTTATAATAATTTGTTGGGTAATTTATCAGCTCTTCCTGTGATATCGTTTATAACAGTTTCAAAATTTTTATGGCTGCATTTTTAAGAGGACTTGAAAATCTTTAGAGATAGTCTAAGTTTACTCTTGCCCCGACCCTACTATAATTGTGTCATTATCTTTATTCACAAAATTCCTGTTTTGGTTTGAGGCAGTTTTTTTTTTTTTAATAATATACTCTTGGAGTATCCGAAATAAAGGGTGTGGTCTGAACAGAAACATATTTGGTTCGCCTCTCGATCAACACGAATAATTAAATTTGGAATCTGGAACAATTTCGATTTTAGGTTATTGCGTTTTTAACGGTGTTACGCAGTTAATTTCCTACCACCACTTGGAGGCTCTACCTGAACTGTTACTAATTAGGTTTTTTTTCTCATCCACACCTAAATCAGAGTTTTTGCTAAAAAAATAGGATATACCTAGTTTTTTGACTAGACTGCGGCCTTGAATGCCTCTACAATATAATATAGGCGCCGTCTATCGAGTGCCTATATAATAACAATATTGACTATTTACTTTTGTATATTATTACTATATAAGTACTAGCTCTTTTTGGATATTATTCCATATTTTTTTTTTTTTTTATGATAATAAGAATGTAACGAATCGCGATTTTTATTTGACCAATTAACCAAAGCGATAATAATACATTATATTATTGTGTTTTTCGCGTCAAAACAAAACTATAATATATTATATAGTAAATGAACCGTATACCGGATAGAGGTCATAAATATATGATAAATTATGAACCCTCGGGTTGCTCGTTAGGAATTATTTCGTCCAAGAAAGTTTATTCGAACTGACAAAATGTTCAAGTTAATATTGTATGACGGCACAGAATCTCGTTATAACAGCTAGCGCTGTTGCTCTTAAAACGTAATATGGATCCTATATAGTATAGCGGGAGAGGCAGGTATTTTTTTTTTCCTTCTTTTAAGAATTCGCCGTTTTTCAAGCTGCTCGAGCGAATCGATATAATTTAACTCGCTCCGTGTTGCTTTTACAACGGCCACGGTGGTATATTAAAGAAATAATATTGACGATTCGGATTCTGGGAATAAAGGTCTAACAGGAAAACAAACGACGAAAAAAAGGGCCAAACACACGGGTGGGAAAATAGCAACATGTTACCATTTATTTTCCAAATACCATGTGCAAACCTACCCGGACGAAATTGAAATTAAATAATAATAAAATACATATAACACCTGTTGATACATACGTAAACAGCTAGGTATATAATATTATGTATTGTTATAAAATAACCGAAAAGGTCATATAGGAGCAGTTTAATACGGTAGGTACGTTGCAGCGTGTAGGGTTTGTGCAAATATATACCTATACCTACTAAAAGATGATTTAATATAATACACATACAAAAAATATACAGGATATTATTATCGCAGTACATACAAAGGCTAGGTACAGGTACAGAATTTGTTCTTAAAATATAACAAGTCCAGTTTGAACATGTTATATACTATTACGGTTGCCTATCCCAAAAAGTGAACAAATAATTTTATATGTTCCTATTATTTATGGTAGCATGTAGGTAGGTAAATAATTGTTTTAAAAAAAAGCCTTATGTAAACAAAAAAAAAATGTGGCTTTTTAAAACAATGTTTATTGTTTAGTAAGACCCGAGAAAAACTTATTTTTATTTTGGAGAACGTGTGTGAAAAATAAGAAATGATGGAAGGATATACATTGAATACAAATAGAAATGAGTAGGTACTTACAAGAAAAGAAAAGGGATGCATTTTTTAAAATTATTTTCGACCAATTAATTACTTTTCAGGTACCTACCTACGATTTTTTAACCTGACCCTGTATTTGTTAGTAGGTACTTTTATATAGTAAATATATACTACTACTTTTTATTATATACCTACTTGATTAATACCTACATAATAGGTGACATATAATTCTGTAGCTTCTGCAGGCATTATTTCTTTTAAAAACGTCATTCCTTTTGAATGATTGTGGTGACATACGAATTACGATGATGAGGTCAATTTTGTCTATTTAAAGTCTTTAAGACACCTCCACAACAAAAACTTTTCTGACTAAATTTCCTTATTTCCTTTATTCGACGATATAAACTCCATTTCTAATATTTAAAATAAGTAACGAAATTACAAAAAAATACAAACAAACGATAACGTTTTATTATTGATAGTTGATATTATTATCAAATAGTTAATGATATTATTATGGATGGGTTTATTTTGTCGGTTATTTTTTCCTAACCAAACATATCCTTCCGGTTACCAAAAACAATACCACCTTTGTGAGCTACGCATCAAAGGTAAAAATATTTTAAGGGCAATCGAGAATACGGTCTTGGACTAAAAACTAATTAAATATTACACTATGTATTATAAGGGTTTGAACCGGAATGAACCCTAACATAGGATAAACATACATATAGCTACCTACTTTGAATTATTAATGCATTTCTTTAAGCCGGGTTAACACGGTTCGTTTTGGATGCTCGCACTAGGGACGAATTCATTAAAATTAAACCGCTTAAACAACAAAATCATCTAAAGAGAACAATAATAATTTAAAAAGCTGGTTCGGTTCAACTTTGGTTCATTTCGGGTATTTCATACAGAGTGAATCGTGTAAACCCAACTTTGTATAATATCGTTCACAGTCAATACAATTATCATTGACTCGGCGATAAATGTATTTAACTGGACGAGACAACCTATTGTAAGCCACTTCACCTACTTAAAACATGCACATAATATAAAGCGCATGATATAACAACAATGTAGGTATTGTACAGCAATACTTAATGACTAATGTCAAATAATTGATGCTGTACAGTGTGAGTATTAATTTTTCGGATAGATCTACTCGCCTGTTGTTGCCTAAATTCGAAAAATTATAACGATTCACATGGTATTTAACGTACATTGGATTTTTCAAAAGAAATTTTAAAATGTCTACAATTATTTAGCTGGTACTTCGATGTCTCCGAGATATAAAATACCTATAAAAAAATCAATCCAGTCCGTAAACGGGTTTAAATACTAACGAGATTTATCTAATAAAAATAATTAATAGCATAGCGCTAATGACTATAACCATTAACCGGTGGCTTCTTTTCCAAATGAATCATTATGACAGGTTAATATTTCTTTTCATCAAATATTTGATATTCACATTACACAATACATAAACCTACTAATTACTATTAGATTTGATGGGTTTCAAATACACATACAAATAATTATAATCGATGATCCAAGGTAAAAAAAATAGATTCCCCCGTCATTTTTTTTTTTTTTATATATATGAAATACTTTTTTGCTAATACGTTTCTCGTCAAACGAGTGCGACTAAAAATAATGGGCAATATAAAAGTACTGTACTGTACTATAATATGTAAAATGGCAAATGGCACCATGTAATTTCGATTCGTACTTATTTTAATACATTTATTTGTTATCTGATAAATGTAGTGACGTGACTAAAAACCGATTTCAGGTAGGTAGGTATTTAGTAAATAGGTACGGACTACAATTAATACCTAATGGCTAATATAATACATTATTTGATAGGCCACACGCACAGCATAAAACATACGATATACCTACCTAGATAATTACTATTTGTATTTTTATAACTAAAAACAAATTGTGTTATTTAAATTGTATCACGTAGCACGTTTACAAATTTTCGTAGTGAACACATACAGTATGTTTATAAAAGCTAATGTTATAGTTAAATGCGAAAATAGAGAATTTACTGATATACTTATTTTTTAAACCTCAGCTTTTAGCCAGATTTAATTGGCATTTGTCACTACAATAAGTACCACTTCAAAAAAACCATTAAGATTGATCATTTGAAGTAGAGTCATTGAACGTACCTACTCTTATTGGTTAATCTAGTGACGATATAAAAGGTAATTAACACGATTTTAGGCACTCAACAATTATCAATTCAGGTACCTACTGTGTCGGTGCATGTCCGTTAGCGTGGACCAGAATTTGTTTTTTTTTTTTGACAGGATGTTCTATTGGATAAATAGAATGTTTCCTAATTATTTCAGATTTTTAATGGTCAACGTTAATTCCTAGTGAAATTTTAGCGATGCGAAAGGCTTATATAAACGGGCTCAAACAAATAGCGATTGAACAATTTGATGCGAATATTTTTTCCACGGACTACAAATTAATTTTCTCGTTTTTAGATTTATCGTTTCCTTTTAGGCGGTAAGTTGAAATTCTACTAAAACATCCCGGTTAGTTATTTATATTTTATAATAATTTCAAGATCTATCGAGTGTGCATGATATCTTTAAACAACTTTTTGCCAATCATTAATCATTGTTTTCTTTTCTATGCTTCCGGTTTTGGAAGTTGGAACTTATAATTATTCAGTTTCGGCAATTATTAGACCATTTTGTTTATTATCTGTTATCACGGAAGTACTCTCACAGAATAACTCTGTGGTACTCGGGCCGTCTGAAAATGATAAGACGATAATCTACTATACTCCATCCGTAGCCCGCATCAGTAGCCGCCGCCGCTGTTGTACGGCAACGTTTTCCGGCGTGCTGGCAACACTGTTGACCGATATTATCGTGCATTGGCTGCCAGTCGATCGGAGTTATCGGTTTTGCGGGATAATTGTAAAAGAGGTCGTTTCTCGTCCACGGGGAGGGGAGAGGGAGCGAAGACGGGGGCGGCAAAAACGATTACCCTTGTAAGATGGCCTTAAATAATAATTGAAAAAAAAAAAAACGACATTTTACCGATAATAATAATCAAAATAATACGGAATCATAATATAATATTATGTTTACCGTGTCGTACCTCTACAGTGTTAGATAACACTGGCAGTTGTGTAATTACTCAAATATTACCCACGTTTGTACACAATGTAGTAACGGCCACGACGACGATGTTCGAAATCTCCTTAATAATTCATATTACGCTCTCGTCGACGTCGTACGTCGATCGATAGCAATGTTATTATAAAATATATAATAACGACAGCCGTAACGTTATTTTTTTTTCTTTTTTTCACTCCTTGTACGCGCGAGTGATGGGATATAAAAAAAATAAAACGATCCCCCGCTTGTTTTTCTTATTTCTATCCCTTCGCTTTAGTTGCCGCCTGTTGAACATTTCGGGCAAGTTTTTTTTACCGTTTTCGCGGTTAAAAAATGTCAAGACCAGAGCGGTCGTCCAACTATATTATTTGTGCGATTTACAATAATTCATAACGATATAAATGTTTGACGGATGCTTTCAATACTTTTAACCTTAATAAAAAGTTAGCCGAGGTAAAAGTTTGCCGAAATATTGAAACAGGCACAATGTAATATTATACTAGGTATAAGAAAATATAGTTATTTTGATATTGTTATGACTTATGAATAATAGGAAATAATTTGAGAAGATATTTTCTATTAACGAGATTACTCGAGAGCGGCCGATTCAATTATAATCGGCTATATATTATTATCATCGTTGTTTATACGGTGTTGTAATAATAATATTAGCCGGGTTGATTGGGAGAGGAGGTGAGGGTGTGTGTGTGTACAAGTGTACGACAAATTAAATAATAATAATATTATTATCAAAAGGAAAACGTTAATAATTGAATTTAAATATCAAATATCTGCCGTTATTATAAAACGGAGAATATATACTGTCTTTCTCTCTCTCTCTCTCCCTCTCTATGTACATATACGAGGGGCTGCTGCGAGGTGCCCCGACGTAAACGGGCGGCGCGGCGGTACGGGGAACGTGTGACCGTTGTGGGGTCGCGAGGCCGGTACGCCGCCGCCGTCACTACTACTACTACCGCCGCCGCCGCCACCATTTCAACCTCCACCGCGGCCGTCGCCGCCACTATTTCCTCCGCCGCATCGGTGCACTCTGCTTGTGTGTGTGTGTGTGTGCGCGTGTATCGTATAAACAAGGTGTGTGTGTGTGTATGTGTATGTGTGTGCGCGCTTGTGATTAGAGAGCGCCGCCGCCGATAGCAATCGTTTATTGTACAATTTTTCCTCCGCCGTGTGCGCGTTTGATAGATATTGTAAATTTTCGGTCCCGTCCGTTCGGTGTGTGTACACGCTCAGCTCGCCGCGTTCTTCACTTCGGGTACCTGATCGACTGTACTACGCTCGTCGACTGTCCGTCCGTAACGTGTTTTTTTTTATAATTTATAATTTTTTTTTTATTTCCCATCCGTTCTCGGCAGTACCTACCTACCTACCAGTCCCTTGTTGTTGTGCGGTGTATCTCCGTAAAACGTGCCCGCTCGCGCTCGCGTGTGTGCGTATGTATGTGTGTGCGCGCGCGTTAAACGTTTCCGTTTTGTGACATTCGTTGGTGTGCATTCGCCTCGGCCGCCGTTTTTGCACACACTCGCACGCCAGCGGTCGGTTGTCCGTCCGTCCGCCCTCCCGCTCGACGCCGCGCACCAGATAATAATATTAACCGTGTATACATGACGTACTGTGTGTGCGCGCCCGTCTTACTGTACACCGTCCGTGCGTTTGTGTGATACCGGACGCGCGCGCGACGACATCGGCCGTCGTGCTTTTTTACCCTTAAAAAAAAAATATAATAATAACTCGGCTCCGTGCCGTGGTTTGCTTTTTATTTACACGCGAAATCGGAACGGTTTTATTTCGACTACCGCCGCCCGGACCGGGTCGCCGATTTTTCAGCGGTGTCTACACTTTGCCTACGTCCAACACATCAGCTTATGCCGTGCAGGTGGACGACAGCGTTTAAAGGTTAGTAGTAGTGTTACCTGTTACAGCAGCTGCGATCGTTTTGTTGTCGCGTCGCGCTTTCCCGAAATCGACCGCAAAAGTCCACCGCGCGTTTGCACGTCCCGCTTTTATCGCGCCCCAACGACCGCGTTAATAAAATTAAAACGACAAACGTGTTTTATCACCTCGGCCGAGTAAGGTACCTGTGTTAGTATACCTAGAGTAGTACACCTAGTCTGTAGTATAGTTTGGTCTGGAATAATCGTATCCGGTAGCTATTTTAATAACGTAAAACGGTAGTGGCTGTGTTTGGTAAAAGTTACGTCTGCTAATCGTTTGAGCGATGCCGCGGCACATTTTGTACGCGACATGCGATTTGTTCTCGTCAACCCTCGATCAAACGATAGGTTTACGCAAACAAACATATAGCCCTTGACACTGATTTTATTGTTGTTTTCATATTTATCTAACCGTTCTTTATTAATGCTCGACACTCGGCTGTGCGTAGACGTTCAATATGTAATATGGCAAATACGCACTCGCTTAAACAACAAATTACGCCACCGTATCAATACCGTCGTTATTGCAGTTAGTAATAGTCTAAATTCATGAGCAAACATCGTGTTGATTGTGATTTAAAATATTGTTACTAAATATTTTTGTACCTATTATGATTTCAAACATACATTTTATATTAACAACTGTAGTACCAAGTAACGATTTGTTGTTAGTCAAAATTATTGTGTAGTCGAAATATCGTTATCATTTTGTATTAATGCGTTTTATTTTTGGTTTATTGTGTTATCTTTCCCTCTTACGTTTAATAGTTGAAACCATTACTTTCAGGAAAGACAGCGCGTGTTTTGTAGGTTAAGTGGTTGGATATTATTTCGCTTAAATTTTTGACTATAGGATAGGTATTTTTATTGTTATTAGTTACACTTGCAGTATGTAGGTAATAATCAAGTATATAATAGAAAGTAGTTGTATATATTTACTATAGAAGTACCTACTAGCAAATACAGGGTCAGCAGTCAACATAATTTACAAACAAACATATTACATACATGTAATGTGTTGCAGTTTGTTAATGCTATTACGATTTTTTAATAAAACTCGTGCAGCTAAAAATTTCAGAGTCATTGCAAAAAGAAATCCATATAGGTGTAACATTTTGTTTCCAAATCTTATTACGCAGTCGTTTAACCATTATTGTTCAAAATTGTATCAGAGATATACTTTTTTTTAAAAACTAAGCAGTTTTAACGTATTATTCTGTATAAGATTAGGTATCAAGACTGTATCTAGATTTCGATGTGAACAATTTTTTAGTATGTTTTAGCAGGAATTGAAAACATTATTATGCCAAAATTTACATTATTTCTTTTAACTACAACAATTTTGACACAAATAATAAATAGTATGTACGATATTCTGATAGCTAAACTTGGTTTGAATTGTAAAAAAGTCAATTAAAAATATTTTAAAATTAAGTTATCCTTTTTGGAACAATATGAAATATTATTCCTTGCATGAAACGTTTCAACAGTTCCAAAAGCTATAACTTAACTTTAAAATATTAGTTTCTTTATTTAAACCATTCACTCGCCTACACCGAAGTAGGAATTCAAACAGTTTATTTTCTTTGTAGGCCCAATAAGATAATCAATTTATTAAAGGATTTCTGTAATTTTCCATAATTAAGTTTCGAAATAATATGCAATTGGAGTTTAATAAAATTAAATGGTAGTAGTTTTTGATAAACTGGTAATAGTTTATGATAAGGTCATTTAGAGAACGTTTAGACTGCTATCAAATATCAATAAATATATTATTATTATTATTTACCTACATAATGAAACTATTTAATGTTATACATGAAATATATAAATTAAAGTCAAATGTTATTGTCTGACAACATGATTATTTCTTTTACATTTTTTTTTTGTTGAGATAATTTGTTATGAGATGCAATGTTGATACTTGTTTCATTTGTTAAGATTAAATAATAAAGTTATTAATTATTTGTATATTAGATTATAATTAGACTATAGTATTTTAAGCAAAAAACAGTCTTGTCATAGAAAAATAGTATGATCAGATAAATTACAGATCAAAATATCGAGGTCTGAAACAAGAGAAAAGTCTGTTCACTTAGTGTAAATGTAGGTTTTTTTAAGTTTCTGTAGACACGCTGCAATATATTATTAATGTCGTGGTCCTAATGATTTTAGACTAAAACTACCAAGAAGTTAAAACTACATATTACAAATTTTTTATAGGTACATTATTATAACTGTTGATTATGAATGGACAAATGTTTTTTTTTTCAGATATCAATACAATCGTCTAGTCTCACCATGTTGGTAATACAAGATAGCAAAAGTGATTGAAATTGACGAAAATTTGCCGCCTCGGCCTTAATATTAAACTATTTTCAACAAATTATTAATTTTAGTCTTACAACATTTTTCATTGATCGTATAAAATAACATACAACTTCTACCACTGCACTTATATCAGACAATGTACATTACATCTGTCACATCTAATGAATCGCAAAATTATTATAAACATCAATTAATTGACGGTATTAAGCCACCTGGATGCACTGCTACTGTATTTGTAGTTGATATTAACTCAAATCGACTGTCAGAACATTGCCGTCCGATTGCAGTTGCTCATATGAGCTTTTATTGATTTCAATATAAATATTTTAATTTTATGATCACTATGATATTCTTTCAACAAGATTCATCATAGAAGCTTCTGTTTTTTTAAAAACAAGAATTTCATCTTCAATTATAAAAATCTATTTTCCTGATTTTCATTTTATATAACGAAAAGTCGTAATCGTTTACAAGACTAGCGCTCTCTCTTGTGCTTTATTAGAGCATGTCAAACTCGGCGGCTACTGCTGCTAGTGCTACTGGTGGTGCTAGTGGTACGGGCGGAGGAACTGCTGCTGCTGCTGCAGCGTCCACTGGAACTCCTGGCGCTTTTGTCGATCGCATAGATCCGTTTACCAAGATAGCTGTATTAAAACGCAAGACGAAGCGTTCCCAAGGTTCATCATCATCCTCACGTTATCGCACTTGTTCAGATGTTGAGCTACAGCCTTTACCGTTGTTAAAAGGTAAGATTTATTATTTTTTAGTTTTTTTTATATCTGTGATTGTATAATTTTAACTATCTACACTTATTAAATGTGTGTAGTTGTGCATAGGTAGCTGTTGTTTAAAGCTTAAACAATTATCAGGGAAGTATGTTTCATAAACATGTTTTCTAAAACTAATTTATTATGTTATACTTATTTTGCACCAAAATGAAATACACTGTTCTGCGAAAAAATTTTTTTGTTGTTTGAATTTGTGGACTACCTTTTACTTGATAAAAAAAATCACATTGGAAATTGGCAGGTTGTCTTCATTGTGTCTAAGTGATTGGGTCATATTAATACATAATGCAAGTTCAGAAATTAGTTTATTTCGCAAGGTATATTCATTATTAGCTTAAAAATTTCAAACAACAATATAGACTCAGAACAGTAGTATTGGTAAACTTTTTTAATAGATTATTTATTTATTTATTTATATAGATTATTATTTATTTATTTAAACTTAATTGAAAGATTATTGTAAAAATAATTATTAACAATAATGAGTATGGAAATTATTTAGTTTAGCTTTGAAGAAGGTACATACTGTATTAGCTGTAATTATTGACTTCACTTGATAATTGTCAGGGATTTTAAGTGACTGATTATGATTTTGTTTTGTACAAAATCCAATACTTGTTAAACTACTTTTGTTTTATGTAGTGAGAATTATTATTCAAATTGTAAATCGTTAATGTTGAAAAAAATTTGAACAAGTTATTCTAAATTTTTACACCTTTGATGGTAGACGATATACTTGTTAATGCTTGTAATTACCAAGTTATCTTTAAAATATGGTAGACGATAGATAAATGACTTAAAACAACTGTTTTAAATATTAAAAATAATAGAGTATATGAAGCAATGTGATGTAAACATCATAGTTACTTTTAACTAATAATAATAATTTTAAAAATTTTAATTTTAAAAGAGAATAATTTTTGGAGTATAAAGGGGATTTCTCAAATGTTTTGGATTTTTAAACTACCCTAATATTTACCTAATGCATTCTGTTACTTTGGATATTATTAAAACCTTGTACATTTAGTAAATGGATAATCATTTTATTCATTATGTAAATCAGAATTTTAATATTTATGCATTGTATATTATTAAATTTTAACATTTCATTTACTATATTTTGTAAACAAATTTACACATAATACACTACATTATGTGTGTGTACAGATTACATAACAAGTTCCATATTATTAAAATTGAGCATCCATTTCATAAAAAGTTTGCTTTAGTGTAATATTACACAATACGTAAAATATAAAGTTAAAAATTAGGCAAGAGTAGCTTTTCTTGAAAACGACCATGTTGTTACATTAACATTATTTATCTAAAGTAGATATATTAAAATTGTTGTTTCTTAATCAAGTGAGTAGTAAAAAATGATTTGTCTAACTTTGTATTAGGAAGACATGTTACTACTTCAATTTTTTTATATTTTTAAATACATAATGCTACATAATGACATAAGTGTTAATACAATGTAAAAAAAATAGATTATAACCCAATGAACCAACAATAATTGTCCACACACAGTTGACTTTTAGTTTTAAAGTTTCTTATTCCGTCAATTTTAATGCTCTACACTTTTTTTTGAAGCCTTAAAATCTTTAAAATTTGTTTGTTAAAAATATTGTGGCTGAGATTTTAGTTAGAGTAGCTCACTGTAAATCTGGAGTGGTCACGCAACCAGGATCAACCAGTGACGAATGCACATTAGTTCAAGTGCCCAGTGTCACTATAAGAAATAACTGTCAGTGTCCAGGGAGGGGGAAGGGTGATAGAGATGCACCCCCCACTGGCTCTTTTAAATTTAGAAAAAATTATTTGGATGAATTCTTGTTACTTGTTAGGATATTATTCAAGTTGGATGTCTATTGCCATAATTTTTATAAAATGCATACAAATCCTATAGTTTAATATGAGCATAAGTTTTTGGGCATAAGATATCTGTTGGTCAAGTCTAGGCGATATTTTCGATCAGCACCAGGCTCATGGCCCTAAATTAAAGAAGCCTCATTTCAATTTTTACACTTTCTATCAAATAGGAACTACAATCTATAATCCTTTTTTGTGAAATATTAAAAAAAATATGCTTACGTAACAAACGGACAGACAGACATTGTGTTTTATAATATGTAGGGATGCAAATTGTAATTATTCCAACAAAATATTAATCAAAATATTCAAGTTGCAGTTTTCCTAATTGGATACCAAATAACACATAAAAAATTTATTTTTTATGACTGAAACCAGAATAAACTGAATTTGTGACTTAGATAATCGCAACCAAGCTACAATATTACATTACCTATAATAATAATTTATATTCAAGGCAAATTGTCAATTGTAATTTTTCACATATTTTATTCGTAACAATATAATTGTTATAAGTTTTAATATATTATTTATTTAATAAACATTTGAAGGCATAAGGTATAGTTTTCTATAAACAAGTAGATGCTGACATGTGGCTAATGCCTGTTTACGGGGGGAAAATAACTATAGAGTGTCCTAAATATAGAAAAGTGGAATGTTGAACATGCTATAGAGTTATAGGAAGAAATAGCTATACCTATAAATTAGGCTAAATGAAAAATAAATATAAAACCACAATTTTTTTTTACACATTCTAAAGTTGCTTTAAAAAAAAAATTTGGATTCAAATTTTAATTGTGGCAAGTACGTTTATGGGTCAGCTGTGTTGGTAAAAATGAAACATTATTTTTGTGGCGACTGCCTTTAAAAAAAAATAAGGATTGTTACTTATTCAAGTGTCTTGGTTATATTTCTGGTAAAAACCTTTCCTTTTTATTAAAAAAAAACTTGTCAAATGATAAATACAGTTAAACATTTAAAAAGGGTGATAAAAAATGGTAGTTTAAAAACTTTAAAAATGGATAATTACTTATATACAGTCAACATAAATCTTAATTTCTATAAAGTTATAAGTATAAGGAAAAAACTAAGGGCTTTGTTAAAATGTGCAATGATATTATGATAAACAAATTACTTTATTTGGTTTGGAATTTTTATACATAATTTTTTCTATGTCCTATTATACAGGGTAGGGAAAAATATATGTATCGGTTTTGAAGGGCGGCAGAAAAAAAACTATTCAACTTAGAGATATGAAGTTTATATTGTTCGATTCAGTAGACAATCTAGTTTCTTACATCAAGTTTTAATGATAAAATCACTAAAATGGTCACTGTGAGCGCGCAGACCAACCTCACGTCTCCCCACAAAGAGGCCAGGCACTCGGGGAACATTTGTCTCAATTTCAGACCTGCATGCTCACCAGATTTGAGCATTTGCGACTTTTTTTTGGGGGATACCTAAAGAAAACGTTTTTAAACATCGTCCACACAACCTGGATAAACTTAAGATGAGAATTGGAGATAAGAAACTAGACTGTCTACTCAATTGAACAATAAACCTCATTTCTATAAGTTGATCAGTTTTTTTTTCTGCAGCCCTTCAAAACCAAAGCATATCTTTTTCCCCACCCTGTCTTAAATAGAAAATGTATGAATCATTTTTGATAACCATTATCAAGATTTTTTTAAATTAAAATTTGGCTTCAACATTAGTCATTAGCCGTTTGCATATGTTTACATGACTTTTAGATATTTACAATAATGGTGTATATGTATTTTACAGTGTTTTTATTAAATTAATGTTCTGTATAAGTTGTATTATTTTGTTTATGTTCTGGATGTTGTCAGCTAGTGTATAGAGTTTTATTAAGTATGAAATTCGGTATTGTTATTCATTTAAGTGGTTCCTAGTAGTAGTAATAGATAGTATAATTTCAAAATTATATGTCTTTGGGTAACTTTCATATATTACTTATGATATATACCAAAAAAACCATCAAGTTTAGCGGGCCTTTTAAGGCCCAATGCTGCCATCAAGATGGTTTCTTGACGAATTCGCTTCCGGGACGGGTCGTCAATCCGTCGCCGGAGAGGGGGATGGCGGTTCCTTTTTACTGGTTGATTGTTCGCCCAGCAAACGGAGTGCCTGTGACCGGGTGTCGAACCGGCGACAGTGAGCGCTAACACACTGCCGCTTTACCCACTCGGCCACTCCTCCTCCTCCAAACTTATGATATATACACATTGATATCTACCTATCAGTTTAGTATTTAATTACATAATTTTGTTTAATATTTAAAATTTAAATAAATAAACAAGTCACATTAAAAAAGTTAAAACATTAGGTTAATTTTTTTAACCGAGTACCACTCAATCTCCGGTTGTTACTAATCATAATTCACATTATAGAAGATCGATAAGATTGAACAATGAACATTGATGCATATAGTAGTCACTTTTTAAAATGTATGTTCATAACTTGTGGTGGGCGAGTTTATAATTTTCTAATAGACGGATGCATTTGTACTGACGTAGATCTTGAAATTATAATTGGGAGGGGCTTATTTACCAAGACTAGTAGAGTAATGCATTTTTGTAGTTCTGATATCATTTTTAATCTAATCTAATCAATCAGAATAATTTCTAATAAATTTTTGGCTAAAAGCAAAGTAAAACTATAATATATTTGAAGTCGTTCTAAATTTTGTTATAATTCTTTATCTCTTATTCAAATTTTAATTCGACCCCTACAAACTCATAAATAACAAATTAATATTTTGTATGCTTAATGCAAATGCATTTGACGAAAAATTCTGATTCCATTTTAGAAATCTTAAAAATTAGGTAATAAGTTTTCACTCCACTCTAACTGTCGCTCAAAGTAAAAATGTGTTTTTTATTTAACTTTTTCATGAAATTTTGGTTTAACATGCAAACATCTAAAAATATGCCTCTATCCTCAAATTATGCTTCCAGATGGAAAATAAACATTTTCTTTTGCATTTAAATTGTTCACTTATCTCACTTCAGCTCATTCACTAAAAATGTACAAATCTAGACTTATAACAACAAAAATAGTCATTAATTTCTGATCAAGAGAGTCAACATAATATCATCACAGATTAGACATTAGATTAGTTTTATGTGATAATATATCAAGTTCAGCTAACCATATAAACTGTGGAAATTTCAGACTATGTTCAATAAAATTGTGAGAAAAAAATAATTCTACTATAATGAAACCAAATTACCGCCAAAATCTAATCAGTTAATTTAGACAATTAAACAAACATGCTAGTAATATTTAACAAACAAATTTGAATCCACATAGTTGTGTTCGACGGACATAGGTAGGAATTGCACAGACAACAGAATAGACACACACACATATATACTGACGAAAAGCCAAGTGGTTTTATTTTTGATAAGAATACATATAATTATGGTCTCACTTCCATTCAGAGATTCGAAAAACAAGTTTTCCAGGGTACTGTGCAAAAATCATTCTAAAAATCCTTGTAACAAAACCATGAAACAAAATAAATAATATTATTTAAAATAATCCGTGTTTTCTAATTTAATAATAAAAACATTCTATGACTATCACTAGCTATATTTTTATACATGGAAATCACTAGGTGGGCTTTTATTGGTCTAATATCAGAAGAAGTAAAAAATCTAAATGAAGTGTTAGTGTTTTTATTTGAATGTACAAGACAGATGAGCAGCAACTTTTTTTTTTAGGACAATAGACAAATTTTTTGATAATAATATAGGTACAAAGTTTTAATAATAGTCTTTTTTTTTTGTATTTCTGATTAAACCCTATCCTTTTTATAAGAAACAAAACGTGCCAAATGACAAATAAAATAAAGCATTTAAAAACAGTATAAAAAGCTTTACACTATTTACACGCCTGCGGTTACTCCCATTTGGATATCTTGACTGGTTCACCAACGTTTCGAAACACTTGCATGTTCCATCTTCAGGGTTCTGGTATAAAAAGTCTAGAGTATCCACACTTCATGCAGATGCATCAATACATGGATATGTCCTGACATATAATTATATGATTATTTCTGATCTATAATCTCCTAACGATATATGATGATAGTGTAGTCTTAATAATATGTTCTGGACAAACGTTTTATCTGGTCTTAATTGATTTACCGGCAATATTTAACATTTCTCATAAAAAAATTTCTGTGGTTCATTTGACTATCCTTATATATACTGCAACTTGATTTATCTGCATGAAGTGTGGATACTCTTAACATTATTTTCAGAATGATGTATATATATATATAAAATATTATTTATAAGATTCGAGATAACATATATGAATTATGGAGGGTCATTCTGAAAATAAATATATACATATATATATACATATATACTTAATGACGTAATGATTATGACGTCAGCATTAGCAGTGACATTTAACATGTCCCAAATTTTCAAAATGACCCCTCCAGCCATAAGACATCCATTTCAACAATATCCTACCTAAAAATTATCCAGCTATTGCCTATTTACAGTCAACATAAATCTTAATTTTCATAAAATGATGAGCATAAAAAAATAAACTAGATTTTCTAAAAATGTGTACAAGCCATAATGCTATTATGACTAACAAATGACTTTTCTTGTTTGTCATTTTCATAAATAATTGTTTAGGATCATGTACAATTCTTGAATAGAAAATGTAGCAATCATTTTAATATTGATAACCATCATCAAGTTTTGTTTAAATAAATAATTGTCGATTTAGAGTGGTTTCATATAAACAAATATAGTTCAAAAATGATTATTTTACAATGCAATAATATTAAATTTAAATATTATTTTTTAAAAAAAGTTTCACTTGTACCCTTACCTTTCTCATCACTTAAATTAAGTCCTTAAAAATGTATTACATATCATTTTTTTTTACAACTTATTTCAAGTATAATACTGAAAAACAGCATAATAAATAAAACTATTTGGGAACTATTAAATAATAAAACGTTTACCTATATATAACTTAAATTACATTAAAAAAAAACTTAAAACTTATACCCACCCAGTTAATTTACACCCTCGAGCAACCATTATGTTTTATTATATAACATTTAAAAAATTATTAGGTGCCATTATGAAGATTATCAGCACAAAAGACTTATTGCTAACATGTGTTCTTTTAATGTCTTTTTATGTTTATTTCTATAATATATGGTCAGTAAAATTAAGCCAACACTGTTATGAATAAATAAACATACTAATATTACGTTTTTGATCCAGCTGATAATGAAAAATATGTGCATTTTATTGTGTTCTTGAATCCCTAAATTGTTTTATATGTTCTATATGAATTGGATGAGTAACAATTATAATTAATATTTAAAAATAATTGAAATGTAGTCACTGTAAGTGATATTGCACTTAACTTTTTTAAATTTCATTTATTTATTGACTGAGACGCTCAGTCTTATTGTAAGCATTGATAATGGTAGCGCTGTTACCAAATTATGCGTTTACACTAAAGTGTATTATTTTTTGTCATCAGTTGTATAGGAATGAAATTGTTTGATAATTCTACGGCAAAGCGTTAAAATATGCACCCTACAGATCTAACTAATATAGAATAGTTGTAGGATATTAAAATATCAAATTGTTGCATTTTGCAAATCATTACTGGTTTTGCTTGTAATTACATTTTATTATTTACTCATAATGTTAATAGGTTAAAACCATTATTATACAGGTATAGGTTATACTTAACACTTTGTGAACTTGTTTACTGAAGTGTTTATTGAAGTTCATTATCTTCTTGAATGAAAAAAACACATTATTATACTAACAATTCAATACATATTGAGAAAATCAGGCTCTAATGCTCTAATCTCTAAACATAATATTTGCTATCTTTATGTGAAATAATAATTGTTTTACAAATTTACTGATTAAACAATTTTTATTGTGTTCAAGTTACATACAATACATATGATAAATAAACATATGTAAAAAATCTAAATCTATGTGATCAGTTAAAAGTCATCTAGGCTCTATCTACAACAAACATGTATGTAAACTAAACATTTGTTCAGCATTAAAATAAACATTTTCTTTAAAATTTTATTAAAATCAATATTTAAATTTTCATTCCCGAATAATTAATAATAATAATGTTGATGTAAACTGTACATTAACTAAGAAATGAACAAACCACTAAACTTTTTTTGGGTTGATCTTTCTTATAATTTTTTGTAACTGTTAAAAAGTAATTATCAAACAATTTTTATTATACATTTATCTGTACTATAATTTAAATGAAATATTTATCAAAAGTATATTCAATGGTTACAAAAGAAAAAAAAATTACATTCTCAATTTTATACCAAAGCTAAAATTCTGTGGTTTGTTGAAAATGAATTTATACCTATTATAATGAACTGATTCTTAACAATTAACCTTAACAATTCTTCTAAAATTAAAATATATTAATATTTTTACATAATGTAAAAACATTGCTCTATAATGAAGCAAGTGTAGTATGTATGCATACTAAATATTAGGTGGTCTAAAATTCCAGAACTGATATTGTTTTGTAAGAATCAGAATTAGGTAATTATTTTTACAATAATAATAGTATCAAACTAACATTATTGTTATGTTATACTAAGCTGTACGTGAATAAAAACAATTTGTTACTAATAATAACTAACTAATTATAATAATTTATATACAATCATTTAAATTATTGTAAATTATTATTATTTTAAAAAAAAATTTGTCAAATAGATGTATCAGTACCGGAACAAGAAGAGCTGTTGATTAGAAAACTTAGACAGTGTTCAATACCGTTTGACTTTATGGATCCCATGGCTGAGCTTAAAGGCAAGGAGATAAAGCGTGATACACTCAATGAAATGGTGGACTATGTTTCGACTTCACGAGGCATCCTGACCGAAAACATGTATCCAGAAATCATCAAAATGGTCAGTATTTATGTTACCTACTGCCGCCTACATACATAATCAGTACAAATCTGTATGACACCGAGTATCGTTTGAGTAGACAATACCATTGATTATAATATTTAAATTTAATGACGATACTAGCACATTGAACTTTAACATTTCACACACCCATAGGTTGGGGAAAAATAATTTTTGTATGCATTATATAAATACCACATGCTTAAATACCAGTAACATTTTTTGGAGGAATTGAGAAAGTATTATAAATTAGCTTAGCCGTCAGCCATTAGTGCTGAAGATGCCGAGATGTTGCCAAAATACTTATCCCATCAATGTGAATATTTTTGTGGATAGGGTTTTTATTTAATAACATTAAAATCTACAAGATTAGATTCTACAAGTCGCACCCGCATCGAAGCTAAAATATTCTTGGCAAAATGGAATTAAAGGTATTAGGAGGTAACGGACTTAAATGGCACCTGAAAAGGCACTTAACTGTATATATGGCAAAGTATAAATAAATGTGTAATAATAATTTCAATAAAAGAACCATTATTCTCAATTACATAATTCACTTTTATTAAAACGCAAAATATTAATTTCAGCAGCGCAAATAAAGCTCAGCAGTGTTTCAAAATATAGTATGGCACGTGTTACACTTTTCTTATTAAACAAATGTCGAAGAGTTAAAATTCTTGGATTTATAACGCAATATTAATGTACCCAGCAGCTGTTTATTATTAAAAATATCTCTAAAGGAAAATGCATAATTAATGAATGTGGAATGTTTAATCAAAAGTTTATAGACTTAAATATTAATTATTTTCTTGGTATTTTGATTTCCGCGAAAGATCCAAGTAAAAGAAAATTGTGTTTCTCTTTTGTCTTTGTGATGGAAAAATAATTATTCTTATGCAATCATCAGTTATTTATTTATTCTAAGGAAGGTACTTAGCTGTTTGTTACATTTTTGCTTTTGAATTCAAATTATGTAATAATGTACTTAGTCAAATTATATCACGTTGCTCCTTGGAGTTTTTTCTATTAAGAGGACGGTACTCCATCCATTTTTAAGGAGTAAAGTATAGACTATTTTTTAAGAATCTTAACTTAAAGGTTCAGAGCTAGCATATTCTCTATTATCGACTAAATAATAATCGTGGAATACTTTTTTTACATATTTAAAATAATAAGAACTTTATCTAGGGTCTCTCAAATTCAAACATTGACAATTTATATTTTAATTATGACATTTTTTACTTTTTTAAGTGCTTGTGTTTAAGGTAAAATTTAAGTCTTCTAAAAAACCTACGAGAGAACCTAGTTGAAGTAGTTCTATTTTTAACGGTATCAAAATTTGTTTTCTATGACCATTTCGCTTTGACCTATACACTTTTCCAAAAACACGTTATAACGATTATTCTTAAACGGTATGATGTCATTTTAAACAAAAACACTCTTGAACAGCTGTTAAAAGTTATACAAATCTATTATAATAGATAACTTGTAAAAATGTCGAACATGATTTATCTATTCTCTTATAACTTTTGAATAAATAACATCATTTGACATAAGTTAGTTGGTTAATAAGTACTATATGACAGTGGAATAATAATGGACTCTCAAAGGTATAAAATAGTTTACTCCACTGCCGCCCAAACTAACGCGCACAACAGGACAAACAAGTATAGCTAATCAGTTATTATGTTTTGGTTTACAGATCTCTTCAAATCTATTTAGAACACTGCCGCCCAGTGAAAACCCAGATTTTGATCCAGAAGAGGACGATCCAACATTGGAAGCATCATGGCCACACCTCACTGTGAGTATCTAATTAACCATAATATTGTATTAACACACTTTTATAAAGTTGGGGCTTTAGTATTTATTTTTAATATAACCTAATTATTTATATACATGTTTTTTTCACAGCTTGTCTACGAATTGTTTCTGCGCTTTTTAGAATCGCCAGATTTCCAACCATCTATAGGCAAAAAAGTGATTGATCAGAAATTTGTGTTGCAGGTATAACTATTTTTAAATAAATAAAATTAAAATACAAAATAACAATTTAGTAGAGTTAAAATTTCCGCTTATAATATCTTTTATAGTATTGTGTAGCAACCCAATTATACATTTTAAATTTCTTTAACTTAACTTTATTTGAATTATAGGATTTTTTTTAACAAATTTTATTAATTTTTGTTATTGAATATGTATTGTTGTAGCTACTTGAACTATTTGATACCGAAGACCCACGTGAGAGAGACTTTCTCAAGACTGTGCTGCACCGTATTTACGGAAAATTTTTGGGACTGCGTGCATTTATTCGTAAACAAATAAACAACATATTTTTAAGGTACTATTTAAAGGTTAACTTACTAATTATTCATGAATACTTGTTTAATTCACTACGATTACTATTTATTACTATTTCTTTTTTAATTTTACTACTATAGTAAAATTAACACATTTGTTTTGCAATTTTACAACTTTCTAATTTATATTAATTGAGTTGATTTTAATCTATTTTTTAGGTTCATTTATGAAACCGAACACTTCAATGGCGTTGGAGAGCTCTTAGAAATTCTAGGAAGGTATATAATTTTTATTTACAGCTTTATGTTTTACGGTAGCTATGTATGAATTTGTTGTCTTTGCTTACCGCTGTAAAAAATATTTTATGTGGAATGGATATTTGATATCATTGCAATAAATTATTCAAAGTCATTTTGAAAGTGTACAATTGATTAATTAAGGTCCATTAGGTATTCACAACTTTTATATTTACAAAATAATGTCTTTGTATCCGATCAATAGCAGTAGTTAGTGTATGATCAGATATATTTGGTGGTTGATGGTTAAAGACAACAAAGACTAAAATATTATTGTCGTTTTTTTAAAACTGAAATTATTTAATGCACATTTTTTTTTGCAGCATCATCAATGGATTCGCGCTGCCTTTGAAGAACGAACACAAACAGTTCCTGGTCAAAGTGTTGATACCATTGCACAAAGTCAAATGCTTGAGCTTGTATCACGCACAACTTGCCTACTGCGTGGTACAGTTCATCGAAAAAGACAGTTCACTAACAGAGTCTGTGATCCGAGGTCTATTAAAGTATTGGCCGAAAACCTGTAGTCTTAAAGAGGTAGGCATAACTTTACTTACTGTAATAATTATTGTACTCGGTACTGTTAATACAATATAATTAATATACAAGGAGTATACTTGTTACTTTAGTTGTATTATATTTATTTCAGTTGAACTTAATCACTTATTTTATTATGCTCTGTAGCTTATGTTATGATTAGATACTGAACATAAATATTTTAAAAATTTAGTTGGTTAAAGGAAAATCAATTTTCGGTCGTATTTTATTTTCATTATTTTTAGTTTAATTTGTGCATAGTTGTTTGAGTTGAATAGTATATTTTAATGACTTATTGTGAACCTTTAAACGATTTTAAATTATTTTCTAATTGAGAATAGTTAATAAATTTCATTTAAAAAAAAATAATTTTATTTTATTTTGCATTTTAACAATTTATTTAAGTGTTTGCATTTAACCCAATAAATAAATATTTTCAAAATGCAACAAAAAAGTGTTACTACTACTATTCGTTCACATAACTAAATTATTTGATAAACAAAACTAATGTATTATAGGTTTTTAAAATATACATTCAAATGTATTCCTTTTTTACTAGGTAATGTTTCTCGGTGAAATGGAAGAAATTCTTGACGTCGTTGAACCATTGCAATTTCAAAAGATTCAAGTGCCATTGTTCAAGCAAATAGCACGTTGTGTGTCAAGTTCCCACTTTCAGGTATGATACACTTTTGCAACTAATGCATTATTGAAGTGTCTGGTAAATAACATCCCGCATTGTTTGTGTAGTATTAACAACCTTGAAATTATACTCATCCCCTTCTACTCTCCTATTCCAGTGTTCCAATGTAGGCTATTATTGGAAAAAATGTTTATAGCGCAGAAACAAACTATAGCTTTAAGTACAGTTATGAGGAATTTGTATGGTAGTTAATTTTTCAAAACTAAATTAATAGGTATGAAACTTTTTTAAATAGTCGTATATTTGTTATTTGTCGAAATTCCGAGAATTCATTAATTTATGACTAAGTTATGTTATATTTTTTGGATTGAAATAAAGGTTTCATTTTAGTAAAAAAAAAAATAGATCTGGGCAACTATGCTTCTTATATCAACATTTGTTGTTGCGCCATCAAACAAGTTGTTGTATAAAATTGTTTTTTTTTATGTAGGTGGCCGAGAGAGCTCTATACTTGTGGAACAATGAGTACATCATGAGTTTGATTGAAGAAAATAATCAAACAATCATGCCAATAATGTTCCCTGCGTTGTATCGTATCAGCAAAGAACACTGGAATCAGACTATTGTGGCACTCGTCTACAACGTACTGAAAACGTTTATGGAAATGAACAGTCAACTCTTCGATGAGTTAACGGCCAGCTACAAATCGGAGCGTCAAAAGTAATAAATACATCGATAATATACTACAACTTTGTCTTTTTATTTTGATAAGCCTTCATATTGAACAATTTTATGGCTCACCAATTAAAATAGTTTACAAATGTTATTAATTAATTATCACTTATAAATATTCTTAATTAAATAGAAAAACATAAAATAAGTCTAATGCTGGAGGTTATGATAGGAACAGAATGAGTTAAGAATATCGGGTGAAGAAAAAGTTAAAAGAGTATTTCTTTTAGAAGAAAGAGCGGGAAAAAAAGAAAAGTCAGATATTGTAGCAGGTTCACCATCTTAAGTACAATATAGGGAGGAATTGAGGGAGATGAGAAAGGAAAAGGCAGAAAAGAAAATATAACCCATTTGAAGACGGTACAAAACCAACAATGAGATGTCAAGCCCACTGAACCATGGGTAGAGAGGGATGGTGGGAGTTATATGTCTATGCTAGGAGGCATAGTTTTGGTGAGTAAAACGGCCATATAGATTGCCTGGCGTTACGTTGAAGTTTGCGTTGGATAAGGAGGTCAGAGGCAGGCAAAGGAGAAAAAGTAGAATGAATTTAGTGGAAAATGTAAGGTGGTGAACTCGTTTATTTCTAGCAATACCAACGTGGTTAGGGAAAAGATTAGGCTAAAGATTTGATGAGAAGGAAATAGGTTAGATAAAGAAGAATTGAATGGATTGGATGAAATAGCGTCAATGCTCAATTGCGAGACTGAGGCAATTAGAATATTGTTGTTCTCTAGCGAATAAATAAATTGCAAAGCAATTACGATAGCATTACATTTGGCAGTAAACGACAATGTAAGGACGTCTAGCTTGTTGGCGATAGTATAATATTGAGCGTAGCGAAAAATAAGCCGGGTAGGTTACGTTGGGTTAGCCTTTAGGAAACGGTGTAGCCAAATTTTCAAGCAGAAACTGCCAGCTGCTAATTTCTAAGGGAGGACAGGAACATTCTACTTCTAAGCTTGCTAAAGGAGTGACTAGCACCTATGATAGTGTAATGCAAAGGCAAGAAGTGATAATTGTTATGTTTTTGTGTCTTAACGTGCAATATATGTTAAACCGCTAGACTGATAAGTCTATAGAACAGAAATAGCCCATCAAAAAACTTTCAATAAAAAATTTGAAAGTAAAATGATTATTTGTACAAAATAAGACGTTAAAATTATTAACAACTTGAGACATTAGATCTCAAAGTTTTCATTAATTATTAATTTTTTTTTTTTTTTTTGTAAAAGGGAGAAAAAGAAGGAAACTGAACGCGATGAAATGTGGAAAAGATTGGACCAACTCAAAGCCATCCATCAAGAACGCAGCTGTAAAACCTCCACTACTACTCCCCCTGCGTCCATAACGTTAGACAACAACAACAAAAAAAACAACAGTAGTAGTAACAATATAGATACCGTACCGGCACACCAGTAGTAGTAGTAGTAGTAGCAGCGGCAGCAATGACGTTCGTAAGTACAAATATATATATATACATATATATGTTTGTCGTTCGATACTGGTACATTCATGTATACCACTCGCTCTAATCATGTTTATATACGTATATGCGTATAACGTAATATGTAAAAAATAATAACTATATAGTGCAAAATTTTCTAGCAGGTAAAAACAAACAAATTAGTGGTGGTTAAGTGTTAGTAGCAATAGCTTTAGCAGTTGATAGCGTGCATGATAATAATTAAAAAAAAAAAAAATGCACAAGTGTATATAATTTGTAACAACAATATATTTTGGTTTTAGTGAGTTGCGGTCAAAATCGCTGTATTAATCGAAATGTGTCTGTATTTTTAAATATTTTTATTACAATTATTAGTCGTTGTCAGTTTAATATGATATTTACTAATGAATGTACCGAGTACACATTTTATTGAGTATAATAATATAAATCCTATACATTTGGATAGTACAATGTGTATTGGCAAGTTGCTGAAAAGAAACACACAAGTAATGTTGGAATTACAACAAAATAAACAGTTTAAGAAAAGAAAAATAATAAGCACAACATAATATAGTGCGCACAAACGATAAATGTAGAATAAGTGTATTTCTATTTTATTTATTAATATATTCTAATCATAATATTATTTGTAAATGTAAGAAAAATCCGCTGACTGTTAAAAAAAAAAAATATTAAATTACATTACGATATATCTATAATGAACAAAATAAGTAAAATGTTGAAACGAAACTATGAGATAGAATAAACTACTTTTTTCTTTGTTTTATAGTGTATTGATAATTAATTATTATAATAATTTAGTAGCATGCTTTTGTGTATTTGTGTGTGTGTAAATATAATAAGTTAAAATAATGAAAAATGTTTTTAATGGTAAAAAGAGTAACAATAATAATAATAATAATAATAATATTAAAATTAAAATAAAAAAGGAATAAAAACTTTGTTAGTTATTTTTAACCATTTATTACCGTTTACATTGTGTGTCAAAAACTGTTTTACTTGCGTTTTCCTCTCCCCCCTTCGTTTTCATTTATACTTTTAACTATAATTAATAATTATTATAAACATAAAATGCACAATACAAATTATAAGATGATATTAATATCGAGTTATTATTATTATAATTATACTACACATTTGTGTTTACCTCCTGTTGTATATTACTTTTTTTTTTTTTGTAAATGTTATGTATACTTTTTTCTTTTTTACTAAATTTACCCCGTTATTCAATAGTGTTGACTAGCGAAATTAAAAAAATAATAATATTACTATTAATGTTAAAATATATAATATAATAATATTATGTTACATTAATTTTAAACATTTTTTGTTATTGTTGTAGTATCATTTCTCGTCCAAATGTCTTTTGATGTTAACGAAAACTGCTATCGCTATTTCTGCTTCTTTACTAACCACTATTATTATTGTTGTTGTTGAAGTTGTCGTTGATGATAATGATGATATAAATCGTTTTTAGTCATTAATAATAATATACTACTCCTATACTACTACTACTATAGCCACTACCACAATTTATAAATACATATATTTATTTATATAGGCTATAATATATAATATACTAATAGCTCTATTGATTGTTTTTTTACTTGTACGATAGTGATATCTGTGTAATGATAATTAAGTTTTTGGAAAATTATTAATTTTGTCGATGAAAAACTGCCGTCATTACTTTTGCGTGATTCTAATTCTAATTATTATTATTACTATTACTATTATTATTATTATGATTATGATTATTACTATTACTACTATACCAACTGCTAACTACTACTATTAATCATATATAAAATATTACGTGTACATAGGTATATGATTAAATATATATATACACATATAAATATAAGAGATACGAACAAACAAATAATATAGTAGTTCTCTCCCCAGTAGTCGTGTAGTTAGTGTAGTAATTATTATTATTATTACATATATAATATTATGATCAAGAAGACGATCACAATATCTATTATCTATAATTTACCGATTAATATAATATAATATACATTGTGTACAAATCCGATTAATAATAAACTGTAAATGATTGAAAAAAAAACCACAAAATTGTCATTTAGATATATTTATTACGTATGTATGTATAAAATAGATTGTCAACATTTTTACTAACCAGTACGTCAGGTTGTTTACAGGGTGGTTCAAAAATCACTAAGTGAAAAGCGTGTGTAAAAAATGAATTTGAAATTAACCTACTCATAGAAACAGTGGTTGATAGATGAATTTTTCTTTAGACGTCAAACGTATGCTATGTTTGGACCACCCGCAAGCGTACGAGGAATTACACAATTATTATAAGTATCATTAAGACTATTATGATTATAATTATTACTGTAATTTATAAATATTATTATAATAACTGTAATATTATTATTATTATTAAAAAAAAAAAATTGACGAAAAACGAAAAATTCGCATTTTAGATGTTGTTTCTCATTATGATTGCCGTCTCGTACTGGTTAAATTATAACTGATTGTATGTTGTTGCAACAATGTAATATATCTAAATAATTGTATTAATAAAAAAATATTCTTCATACCATGAACATAAATAAAAGGTTGAATAAATGATAATGTATTAAACAATATAATATACCATATATACATTTTATAGCATACCTTGCCTACACCTATAAGCATCGATTCGTAATACATACAATTTAATCCTTGTATTACTCTAACAATAGTCATCATCTATTGTATTCATAAATACATAAAAAATTGAATAATTTAACTATAGAAATCGTGAATTAATAGTGTTTTAGATATTTTAGTTTTTGACTTGGGTATATTATTCACTTTTGCAACTAAAGTACAGATCTACTTACTTTTGAAATAAAAAAATAATCTTAATTTTCTAACTTGTGATATTATTGTTTTTTGGTTGAATTATATTATCTACACATCAGTAACATTTTTTAAAAACTAAAACGTACAATTTTAAAATGTTATAAATATTATAATTTATTTATGTCGTCCCCATTTAGACAGATGTGCATTTTTTTCCTGCATTCGTCTAGGTTTGGCCGGTAAATTATTTCATCAATGTTTGTTTGCATTTTCAAATATTAAAATTAACGTATTGATTTATATACATATATTTACTGAACCTTAATCCGCCGAGTCCCCAGTGCCATTACAATGGCAAGACTTTTTGAATACCTAATTATAAAAAACTAGAGTTTTAATGCTGGTTCATTTTAATAAACAACTCGTGAAGATTTTTATAAAATTGATTGGTTTTGCCAGGTTTAGTGGAATTATGATTTCTTTATACTTTTTGTAATGAAAAAAATCTGATAATGTGAAACTGTGTTGCTTGTTCTTATTTTTACTTACTCTAAACAACATCAGTTATATACTCATACCCTAAACACCCAAGTGCTATTATAATGACATGTCTAGTAATACCGTTCAGCGCCCATGTGCCAGTCTTATTGCATATCTTCAAACCAAACTTGGGACAAGTCGTATTTAGACTATAATACATACAAACTTTTAAAACAATCAATTTTTTTTGGTCTAGATCATGTACATAATTCGGGACTGAAATGGTTAAAACTTTTATCAGTTATTGAAATATTGTTATCATTTATATCTTTGAACCATTCCTTATCAAAATATTGTATTATTGAAGTAATCGGTTGTTGGTAAGCTAATATTTGAAACTGTTGAAACGTTTGCAGCTGTACTGTACAACACTGAGGACATACCTTCTACTTTTTGGTATACAACTACCAATGGCCATATTTTCTGTTTTTCATTTAACATTTAAATAGGATATTCTACGTTTTGAAACTTAAAATTTACATACGAGAACGAATGACCAATGAACAATAATACAATGGCAAAATATCGATTTCGGCTGTGGACAAACGACATTTTTCCAACTGGTGGACTCACTTTATAAAGGTGAGTGAAAGTTTTTTTTTCAAGTTAAGGTTATTAGTTTTTTGCGTAAAATGTCGACAGCAACCCACTAAATGGTCGAAAGATGTGCCGTCCTCTTAACTTTACTTAACTATACTTTCGAAATTATAAAAAAGATATTTATTTTTCAAATGCGTCTGTGTTGTTAGAAATTAAATTTTATAAAAATACCGTTAACAATGTCTATGTGTTTTTTGGCACTAAATAAGAGTCTGAAAACAGAATCTGGAAAATTGTATGTATATATAGTTCTCACTTCTCTCCTTAAGTTTATTAAAAAAAAGAAAAAATTTCTACTTAAAAAAAAAAATAAATTGTTTGCTAATCATTTCAAAATGTAAAGTATTTAAAGACTTAAACCGTCGATTACAAGGTTATGGAAATAAATAATGAGAAATCATAATAGAACCTATCGAAAGTATAGTCGTGGTTAGATATTACTTATTATTTTCTACTTTTCGTTTTCAAAACAAGATTCTTGTTACTTGGAATATTTATTTATTTTTAAATTTAATTTGAGCTAAAAATATAGTACTGTAATGACAAAATGACCAAGAAGGTAAAATATGCATCTCCCCAGAGCCTATATTTAATATACATTTATTAATTTATTAATCTTTTATAAACAGTACAAAAAAGAGCTATGTTCATTAGGGTGATTAAAAAAAATGTATTCATTTTTTTTTCTTCTCTTGAGAATATACTATTCGGATGAAAAGATAATTTTTGACATTTTTTTTAGATTTTTAAACCAGTTCCTAGATGTGGTTCGGGTCAATTTTATATAAAAAGTTTAATTCTTTTATATTTTTTTTTTGTTTAATAAAAAAATGCTTAAAAAAAAAATCTTTTATATGAAAATTATCAGCATAAAAAAAGAAATAAATGATGAAATACACTCGATAAAAAAGTACGAAATTGCTAATACTACGGACTAAAATTATAAATCCATAAAAATATATATTTTTCGAGAGCAATTCAAATTAAAAACCAATGTGCTGAACAGTTTTAGTAATTTCAATATTTTTATTGTTCGTGTGTACATCAAAATATCATATTTGCCATCCAACTCGCTCTGTAGTAAGCTCCTGGCGCACATATTTTTATTTCTACAATGTTTTATTTTTGTTGCAGTTTTTTTATTTTTTTACCATTAAAAAAAAAGTTTCCTTTGTTATTATAATGATTTTGTTTGTAATTAGATGGAGAATATGATAGAATTTTTTTTTTTTAGGATAGTTTTAGGATAGGAAAGTTTTTTAGGATAGTTTTGTGGGTTTTTTTATTAAGATATCAAAAATGTCCATCTATTTTTGTCCTTAAATTTCGTAATTTTTTATCAAGTGAGTAAAAAAAAAATTAAAAAAGGTAAACTTTTGATATAAAATCGACCCGAACCACATCTATGAATTGGTTTTAAAAATTTTAAAAAAATATTAAAAATTATCTTTTCATCCAAATAATATATTGTCAAAAGAAGAACATAAAATAATAAAAACATTTTTTTTGAACCACCCTAATGTACATTATATTATATTACAAACAAAATAAATTTAATATTTTAGTAATTATTATTTATTTTAAAAATAATTTAATTTTAATATTATATTTAATATTTACATTTTGAAGAATTTATTATAATTTTGTATAGGTACTAAATTGTGTAGAATTTTGAAGCAAAATTTAATAATTTTGTGTACTTGGTTATTAGTTTTAGGACTTTTGATAAAACAGTAATCCCAGCTACCAATCACCACGTTACTTGAAAATTTAGTATTTTGTATTTTATATGTAAAAAAATACCTATCCCCCCTAAGATAAATTCCTTATTACGCCCCGAGTCAACCGTATTAAATGGTTATAAATTTCATTTTAAGATGGGACTCGAGTTTTAAA